TATTTCCATCTAATATTTTTAAAGCTATATTTTGTTATATTTATATGTGTAAGTATTTTTAAAATATTCATATCTCGAAGACATTAATATTACGAAAAAAGCCAATCGTCTCTCGTAAAGATTTGAATAAATAAATAACGTTCTCTCTTTTCTGCTTTTATATGAACATAGTTTTAAATTAAATACCTTATAATCTCTTTTTCTCCTTCTCCCCCCCTCTCTCTCTCTCTTTTTCTCTCTGTCTGTCTCCCCGTCTCCCGTCCGTCGGGAATGAAATTTTAATCTCAATGGTTAAATAGGATTGATAAGGAGGTGTGACATTTGAGCGATAATTATTTAAAATATTCCTCTGCGGGTAGCGACAAATATTTCTCGGCTACGGACTAATTTTCGCTTTAAGGTAACCAATTAGGAGCATACTAATGTGCACAACGTCTCGTAACGTGTTATATGAATGCATTACGCGACGCAATTAAAAGCTGGGTAGCGCGAATGTGGTGCAGGGAAGGTCTTTGCGACGCATGTACAGGGTGCCCTGGGAGAAACCACTTTCATTTTACTTGGGAATGCGCCATATGCAAATAACTCGCAGCAAAAAAGAAATTTATACGGGAGTACGACGTTGCCAATTATTACTATCAGGGATAATAACGTGCTCGACAATGAAACAGCTAGTTATAACAGAATCATTAATAGTACTGGAGCAGCGATAATAGTAAAATACGTGAAAATATGTTAATCTGAATTGGTTCGAAAATTAATCGTCAAGACGCTGAGAATGTACACGAGGACGACGAGTGGAAGTTAATCAAATCGTCATCGATGACTCGTCATATGACTCAATTAACGGGTACATCCCAATCGTTATTTCTTCTGGGCCGCCCTGTAGACAGACCGACAATTAATAATGTGTGTACCGCCTCATAATATGTAATACAAATGCATTACTCTGCACCAATTAAAACTTGAGAAGCCCGAAGAGGGAGAAAGAGAGAGAGAGAGAGAGAGAGAGAAAAAGAGAGGGAGAGAGAAAGAGAGGGAGAAAGAAAAAGAGAGTCGGTGAGATTTTTCGCACGCTAACAACTCGTCCGTACACGAACATCTAGAAGACCTTCGTTCACCCACGCAGCACGCGGCTACACCCTGAAAAGCGGGTAAGCGAACGGGTGAAGAAAGTAAGAGAAGGAGGGGAAGGGAACGAGAGCTGAAGACTATTCGAGAGAGTTACGACGGCCGAGTGATTTTTCATCTACGAATGCGCACTCCTTAGCCACGCTCCAATGAACGTTTTCACGAGAACTATAAAGCCAAACGCAAGCTATACAGAATGTCCCCGAACCGTCGCGCCTACCTTTAGCTACGGATTGCCTGCGACCGCAACGCGAATCGATGAAATTGATTTGGACCGGACGAAAATTTGACGAATGAGTTCGTGAGTTGATTTCGAATTTCAACTTTTGTAACGAAGAAGATCCGCTTACGAGCAAATTATCGTTATGATAGCGTTAATTTTTAATTTTATTTGTGTATCATTGTTGCTTATCTGATTTAGAAGATTGAAATATTTGTCTTCTAAGCTTTTAGAAATTAGTTTCATTCGATATTCACCAACATTCTATAAAATTAACTTCCATAAAGTTTCCGTCAAGTTTCGGTCGAAATTTAAAATACACTTAACCAAAAATGCGATTTAGTGTTAACTATATTTTTAATCTTACATCGTCGAGATTCTTTCCTTAATCTCAAATTGTTAGTATTTTGAAAATTACCGATATCTCGATGTGTCTCTTTGAAGCTATTCTCCGCGGTTTATATTCTGTGATTGGACTATAGCACGATTGTTTCGAGATACTCCATATAAACGCCTGTGTGATGGTAATAATGTCGCGGACCTACCGCGACATAAATAGAGATTCTTCCTGGTGAACCTATTTTCGGGGTCGACGACGTCGAGAAAAGTCGTAATTCAATGGAACGGCACGGCGGATCGCATCAACGGATCGTGACTGAATGAGAGCAAGCAAGAAATAGTAACGGGAAGACAGAGAGTTCGCGGGAGGGAAGGACAGAGAGAGAGAGAGAAAGAGAGAGAGACATAAAACGCCTGCATTCCCGATGGGTTTCCTGAATGGGTTCGGCGCCGGGGAACAGCTCCGGCGATGAACAGAGAAAACAGAAACCGACCAATGTTTTCGTAACCCAATGCCGAGAATACAAGAGAACAGCGAATCGATTTGGTCGGCGGAGATATCACTCGTCGCTGCCCCGATAACTATTGAACCTGTACGAAAACCTCGGCCGTTTATCTGTGTGTAAAAGGTAACTCGTTCGTCCGAAATCGCAATGGATTCGAACTGACCTCTCTCGTGTCGTTTCCATTTCTAGAAGTCGACAGAGGCGACGGACAGATATCTCAAAAAATTCTCTCTCTCTCTCTCTCTCTCTCTCTCTCTCTCTCGATAAAAACGAGTTTTGGAAGAATTAACGCGAAAAGAGAGATTAAGTTGGATCCGGTTAAAAGAGTACTCGTAAACGACACCAGTGCATGAATCGTACGTGCGTGAAAACGACGTTCCCTCGAGACCGCGTGAAAACAGCGCGTCGTTATCGTTATCTCTCGACTCTCGGAAATTATGGACTCGTGCGTCTCCTATCGGACGATTTCTGACCGATTCGAATATATATCTCGCAGCGAGAGGCAAGGTGCACTTCCATCTCTCGCCTACGCGAGTTCGCGAACGCGCGCGGCAGTTCGCGAAGTGCCATTCGCAGAACAACTTGTAAACGAGTCGGGGAGAATCGATTCGACACGTCCTCGCGGAGGGTTGTTGGCAGGCGAGAGAGAAAAAGAGGTAGGGGGGAGGGGAGGGGAAGCAGAGAGAGAAGAGAAATCCCGGGGTCTCGTCTTTTCTACCGCCTAAGGATACGCCGGTCCTCCTTTTTCGTTCTCAAGAGCCACTGTGGATAATTGGCACCGCACCCACGAGAAGCAGCCCGCTGACTCTGTTTCTCCTCTCATCCCTTCCTTCTTCCGCTATCACGCTCCCACGAAATTCTCCAATCCCACACAGAGAGCGGTACTCAAAAATGCGCCAGCCGTCGTGTCGCGTGTATAAAATAATATACGAGGCGACGTGTAAAACGTATGATCGTGTAAGATGAATTAAAGCATACCTGGAACAAACGTACGAGTTGCAATTAATAGTTATATAAGACGGTCTACTCGAAAGATGTTATCCATAAAGATGGATAAGATAAAAATCTCAAAAAAAGAGATTTCTGTTTATTTTTCATAGCATAAATATTTCATATCCTGTGTTTCATATTTGCATGATAGCCAAGCAGAGAAAACATGAGATTCGAGGCTGAGAGCCAGGAACTCGATTAACTGGACTAGAATTCAATCGCAGATGCCGGTTGCGGTCACCATGGTTGATAGTTAAAAAATCATTCCTACTGACTACGCTGAAGATGCTCAGCGAGTTAAAATAAAACTCGCCATCCGATATTAATATTTTATGTAAGATATAACAAGTGATCATATAATTGTGGTTACACTCGACACACGATTCATTAGAAATAATTGTTGCATATACTTTTTGCATATTTTATATTATAACTCGTTACAATTGTAGTAATATTATACTTTTACATATGTATTACTATATTTTATATACCATATTTTTATATAAATGTTTTTTTATGCTCCCACTTTTAACAATTAAATCAATTATATGTATGAAACGTATCACAAAAATATTCTAACAATGCTGAACCTGTAAATTGAACAGAACTGTTGAAATACTTGTATGAGCGCATATGAAAATAAAATTTATTTCAATTGACACACTTAAAACACGTCTGTTCACGTTATCGCAATGCAACTGGTGCAGGTTCATACTTGTTCAAAGTCGTTGTAACGGTCAACCAAAATGGCGTCATAGGAAAAATACTTTTTATAGAATAATGGTTCTTAACCTAATTCGATCGATAGATGAGCCGTATTATGGAGCTGGTTTTCGGAAATCAATGAATTGTAAAAAAAAAATTAAAGTATGTCTAATAATATGGACCAGGACTGTACAACGTATTTCTATTGCTCATAATGGCATCTTGAGACAGTATGCTATTGTAAGCATACAAAGTTAATCCTCACCTGTACGTTATCGAAGAGTGAAATTTTCGGCAAATATCAATGAATCCGCGCTCACAACCCGTTACCCTTCGTGATTCCACCGTCATAATCGACCGATTACAACTTTAACCCGTATATTCGCGTATCGAAAATGACGGACGATCCTTCGCGCGCGACATTTCTCGTCCGAACTAACGATAAAATTCGTAGAGTGATATCTCAAGCGATCCGAACGCTGTGATTGGTCGTCGCGCGTAACGGGTGATATAAATTTCGTGAACCGCGCGAATCATACAAATAATATGTTTATAATTTCAATATATCATTTAAATATGATTAATCTCATAAAATTATGCGTATTATGCTTTAAGTTGTATAATTCAAGTATTTCAATTATCCTTCATTAAGCCGTTATAAAATTAAATAATATTCGTTATTAAAGAAATTGGCGTTGATCCATAATGCCATCTGTGATCCATTCATGGTAACCAATTGTCGGGTAAATGCGGCGTAGAAAACACTTTTGCCAACAGCTGTTTTATCAGAAATCCCAAAAAACGATTTTGTAAAATCAATTTCCATATCGAATAATTATATAATTTGTAATAATAAATATTACATTCTGTATTATGTTTCATTCAATCTCTATACAGGAAAAATCTGGTTGAATTAACCAGAAAGGGAACAACTAGATGCGTTCTGGTTGAAATAGAATTTCTGGTTCTTATAATTTAAATATAGTTAATATATAACCAAACTTTTTTCCGTGTAATATTATATCCGTACCATGTGAGATAACATTAACAGTCAATAATATTAAAATATAAAAAGCCGAAAGAGAGAGAGAGAGAGAGAGGAGACAAAATTATGGAGGAACAAATCTTTATTTTTTACATAGTGTTCATAAAAATTCTTAGATAAATAAATGCTTTAGAAAAATGCACAAGTGGCTGCATGGTAGCGCTAATAAATTAAAGAGATAAAAATCGGCGGTGAACTGTCTACCGTTAATAGTATTGAATGTCACCAGTCCTCAAAGTTTACCTCGCATTTTAAATGATTATTAGATGCATTTATACAAATTCTCTCCTAAAAAAAATTGCTTCTCTCAATTGATTATTTAGAACACTGAATTTCTTTGTTCTTTACTGAAACAGTTAACGGTATGTTCATCTGATATAGGCACCTCAATGCTAAATGTCGAAAACATCTGTGATAAGTTATATGCGATTTAAACATCGCATACCCTACGAATTGTAAAAGTGATATAAATTTTATATTATTACAAGCTTTTACTTAATACAAATAAATTATTTTCCGATCTATCTATGCTTTTTACGGTTCTGTAGATTCTTGTTGTTCGAACTTGGGGTACTTCGCTTCCACTTCCAGCCAAGTAATTCTGCCATAAGAAAGGTCTTTCACCACGCCGGGCAGTTCGTCCAACTGCGGGTTAAAACATTCGTTCTTTTCCATTCCCAACGGGCAATAATTAAACAGTAATAATAAAGCAAATATACATACGTTTATCCTAACTTGCCCCATGCTATCTCTGTCACGGAGCGTCGCGCTGTGCGGCGTCTTCAGGGTATCGAAGTCGATGGTGATGCCGAATGGTATCGCTATTTCGTCGGTACGAGCGTACCTACGTCCTATGCTACCGGAAGAGTCATCAACTTTATGCGACACGTCCGCTCTCGTGAGATCTTGCGCTGTTATAAACGACAGGACCGAAATTATTAACGCATAGGAAATCAAACGACAACAAAACACGGAGAAATAACGTTCTACACGGGACAACGCATAGATTTAGAAAAATATTTCGCTTACATAATTTCCTGACGAATGGTACGAATTCGTCATTGCCACTGAGCGGTAAGACCGAGCATTTCAAGGGCGCTATCACCGGCGGCAGGGCGAAGAACGTTCTCTTCTCGTCACCTTCCCTCGCTCGGAAGTTATGCTCGAACAGAGCATACATGATACGACCGATGCCGAAGGAGGGTTCGATCACCGACGGCACGATCTCCTCCACGTGAACGATCTTCTGATAACGCCTCACCTCTATCATGTCCTTGGTGATCTTTACGCTGTTATCGGGCAACGCTAGCTCGTGCTCACCGTTCTCGTCGAGGACCTTCTCCAAGGAGACGATCTCAGCCTCGCTCAAGGCCGCTAACGCGTTTTGCACAGTTTTGCTGTCCTTCTTAAAAGTTTTGCCGATTACCACCTTGTTCGGTGCGATCTCGCAGACGTCCACCGTCTTCGGGGCGGGCAGCTTCTTCTCCGCCACCAGCTTCACGCCGGTGGCTCGAGTGTGTTGCGTGAGATCGTAAGCGGAACGATCCGCACAGCCCACGCACTCGATCCAGCCGTAGGAGGTGAGGCACTCGGCGTCCCAACAGTCGCAGGCGTAATGCGCCATCTCGTTGCCCATGTGCTGGCGGAAGCGCAGACGGGCCGGGTCGACGCCGACCTTCAGCATGAACTGATGAATCCGCGCCATGAAATAGCCGAGCGTCTCGTTCGCCACGAGGCCGGACGCGACGGCCTCGCCTATGGTGATGCGCTGCGCGCTCTTGCCGTCCATCTGATTACAGGCGGAGTACAACAGCATGCCGATGTCCTTGACCGTCTCGAACTTAAAGTGACTCTTGTCGCTCGGATCGCAGAAGTGCTCGATCTCCGCCATGGTGAACTCGCGGACGCGAATCAGGCCGGACCGCGGCGAGATCTCGTTCCTGAAAGCGTTGCCGATCTGCGCCGCCGCGAACGGCAGCCGCTCCTGATTGAAGGCGAGCAGTCGCTTGAAGTTCACGAAGATGCCTTGGGCCGTCTCCGGTCTCAGGAAACCTTTGACGAGGCCGGTCGGGCCGATCTGTGTGCCGAACATCAGGTTAAACTCTATCGGCTCGGTCAGATCGTTACCGGATACCGGCGATTTCATGGAGTACTTCGACAGGATCGCGGCCATCTCGTCCTTCGTCGTGCCGTCCAGCTTGACGATGATGTCCCTGCACTCCTCGCGAGTCTTCTCGTCGGTCTTCTTGTCGCAGATCAGTTTCTCCAGATGCGCTTTGATCAGGTGATCCAACCGGAAGCATTCGCCGGTCTTCACGTCCTTCACCATCAGATCGGCGAAGCGTTCCACGTGACCGGACGCTTTCAGCACCGGCTGAGGCGTCAAGACCGAACAGTCGACCTCCAGCATCTGTTCCTCCAGCACGAAGAAGTTCCTCCAGAAATTCAACAGGTTGGTCTTCAACGAGCAACCCATGGGCCCGAAATCGTACTGACCGGTGATACCGCCGTAAATCGCGAACGATTGATCCACGAAAAATCTACGCTTCAAGAGGTCCTCCATCCTCGCTCTGTCGAACGTCACATTGTTGGGGGCCAGCGACAATTCCTTGTCCTCCAGCACCTTCTTGCGTAGTTTCAATTCCGCTACGGCCTTCTTGATGTCTAACTCTGGGGCGCCATCGGATTTCAGCTTCCTTACATAGTCACCCTGCAAAGAATACAAAGTTATATCTGAAAAAAGGATAACTCTCAGTTAAACACATCAGATAAACAAAAATGCTGAACATAGTATGCAAATGTTTACTGTGTGTCTTGCGATGCCATTGCAACAGCACATGTTTAAAATATGCTTGTTTTAAGAAACACTCATTTATTACGCCATAATTTTGATCCAAATATTGATTTCCTATTATTATAATTATTCTAGATTGATTGCATTCTCTTTCAAGCAAAACAAGCAGCAACAATGTGCATACAACAATTATGCACTGGTATTTATTTTCAGATCAGGACATGCAACATTTGTATCCTGAAAACAAGCTTTTTTGAGACATTCAATATTTGTACATTATGTAGAGACATTCAAGAGACATACAAAAATGATATTAACTAAAAATTAATCAAAAGTGGGCATACAACAAGTGTGCGCTCAACCATCGATGTATGAATGTTTGTGAAATACAATCCTATTAGAAATAATATTAAAATACTCAAAATATCAACACATTAAAAGATAAAAAATGCTTGTACTTGAATGCTGCTAAGCTTAAATGAAGCCGGTCGGCATGTTCAGATTGTTCCATTCCTGATCGAAGTATGGCTGAGACATTAACATCGACAGTATTACAAGTTTCTTTCAAAGAGGGAGTACGAAGTTTCTACTTCACCTCCATATGGCACTCACTTGTTCTTTGACGCTCGCTCGAAGCGGTGCCAGAGCTTCCTCGATCTTAGGATCCGTCATATCCAGCATAAGGGCAATCTTCAGCTTTCTGTTCGCCTTTTTGGTACCCCACCGGCTAAAGTCGCATAAACTGGTGGTGACAGCGATGCTTCTGACAGGCGGAACTTTCACGAGAGGAACTGTTCCAGACACGTAGTGCACCGCTACCCTACGAGCGATATGATACAATCCGCGCTGGAGAAACATTCGTGGAGGTGCGGTACGACTTTCTCATATTCATTATGCCATGCGTTCGCCAGGGCCGTTCCGTTATTGGGGGTATCACGAAGTATCACGGATATCATCACGTGTCCGTTCCTCCAGTACGGGAAGTGCAAAGAAGTGCAACCAAAGTAGCATTCCGGGACTCGATTCTTGAATCGTAATTATTCGTACACGTAATTTGCGAGTGATAATGAGCTTTTACGGAATAGCTCTATGCTCATTGGATATCATTCGCAAGTTATGTATACAAATAGTTACGAATCGATTCAAGAATCGAGCCCCTATAACAGGATTTTGTACCGTAGGGAATTCTCATACTTTGAAAAAAGGCAGAAAAATAGCAGCCAATCAGAACTCGAGCTAGTAATAAACTAGATCAAATAGTAGATAAAGCAGAAACTGTCAACTACCAGCGCGAGTTCTGATTGGCTGCTGCTTTTCTGTCAACGTGTGAATTCTCCCTAATACGGGCTACGTCATGAGCTTAGTGTGTAGATGGCGTTGATTCATGTTCACTTTCATGGCTGTAGAGGCGCTGTGCATGCAAGGAAAATCAACCTGTTACCTCTCTCTCATTCTTCTTTATGGTTATAGATCTATTTTAATTTTATATGTATGCGAGAATATTCAGTAATAAATTTAAAACGTAATTTCTAATTATCTGCTCATTTTTTTAATAGCGAGCTTCCAATATATAAGATTTCGTTAACTAACGACTCATATTAACAGATTAATGGAGTTGTCAGTGTAATATAATGTAATATTTATATTACTTTTCTCGTAATTTTATTACAAAATAAAATTTACTCTCTAAGGTTTACTTTATGAAAAATATCTAATAAGATTTATTTGCGTTCACTACAATAATGATCATCTCCAAAAGTTTTAATTTTCATGATTATTGTTAAACAATATTGTAGTTGAACTAATATAGCTCAGCATACGTATAGGTACCTATTTATAAAATATTTTTAATCGCTCGCTTAAGGAAATCACATACATTAATAGCTTATGATAAAACATCACGAAATAAAATACATAAGTTATACGTACGAAACGACGCTATAAATTTTGTCATTCGCTTCAACAACAAAAAAAACAGGTCCGTTTAATTTATCGAATACCCTTTATTTTATTATTGAATTATTACTTTATCTCGTCTCGTACACCATAGCGCGGTTTATAGAAAAATTACAATGACAACGTGAAACTTGTAGACCGCAGAAAAAGATTGCGACACGAGCGCGATTATTTCCTTTTGACGACAAATTTATCATAACTTTTCAATAAACCCAGCCTATGTGTAACATATATTTAGCCATCTTAATGTGTACAGACGAAGGGAACGTATCCCGAAAATACGGACCTATGAGTTAAATACAATTTTGGTCATTTAAAACGAATACTGTGTAAAAAACAAGTATATATAGGCTTTCTCATTTCTCTCTCTCTCTCTCTCTCTCTCTTTCTCTCTCTCTCTCTCCTTCCCTCCCTCTCTCTTGTTCTCGTTTTGCGCAACAATAACAAACATGATCAAGACAAATTTCATCAGTGTAAACAATTTATTTTACATAATGGCAATATTCTGACATCAAAAAAAAGCAGTAATAATGGCTAATGTATAATAATAAATAAAGAATGAAATGTAAATAATGGGTATTTACAAGTATGTAAATGGCAAAGAAGCTATAACAGAGATGAAATAATTGTCTCCGCAAATATGCGAACTATTCGTTCTGAAAGTCGTATAAGTTAATCCTGAAAATCTGATCAAAGCGCACATATTCATATTTATACATTATCCAATTCGTATTCATACTTCGAATTTGTCAATTCAAATCCTAAACTGACATTTTTAGTCGTTACATTATTTTCATTACTTTTGTCGTATTTATCATCAAATCTTGAATGTCCAGTAACAGTTTAATATTCATGAATCACATCTGACAACAAGAGTGATAACGCTAAAAAGTTACAAATATGCAATGTATGATCAAAATCGTGAATTTCACCGAGTCCGCAAAGAAAACCAGAGAGTAGAAGTTTGCCGCATTCCAGCACTAAATGCGGTTATATATCACATGTACAAATAATCCACAAATTTTTATAAAATTCATTCTATTCGTTCTATTTATTATCAACATGCAATGAAACAACTCAAGACATACTGAACCGATTTAATCACCAAAATAATTCCCATCACGCTTCAATACTCTCCTCTATATTCCAGGCAAATTACAAAGAGATCTAAGTCTAGTAATATCAATAAAAACCAATATTTTTCTATCGAGCTGGAATTAGTAATTCGCCTGAAAGAAGCGGGGACGCGCTGAAAAAAAAAAAAATGACGGTAATTACCTCGGCGATTGAATCGTTTTACCACGTTCCGATTATATAAAACGATTAAATCGACAAAACAACGTGGATTATTTATCTGTACATTTAATAATCCTCGATTGTTGGTAACGTCGAGATTACACTAAATAAAATTGATTCACAAACAGTCGCACTCGGTGTNAAAAAAAAAAAAAAAAAAAGAGCGCGGGATTGTAAATGTCGTCGTTGCTTCGCTTCGTAATTGAACTCGTATCACTTTCAGAACGAACGGCTCTCATTCTGCGCGCCCGCGATTCCCCCTTTTTTTTACGGCGGGCTCGTTTCTGTCGCCTGTTCGCGAATCGAATTGCACAGCTTACTCGCACGTTGCGCTAACGTAATACCTGTACACTTAGAACCTACGAAACGTGTGACCGCAACGCGTCTTCCAAAGTAAACGGGACGTCGCGTCCGTTTCTCGCGGCGAATAGGTGACAGAGGCCCGCCGCGAAGACATATACTAATAATATATCTGGCATGAACGCTTATCTCGTAGTTAGAGTAATTCGTCTATCGCAGAGGTATTCAACCTGAAGTACCCTCGGAAGAAATGCACGTCGGGAACGCGCCCGCGTTCGGAAAATAAAAGAGAAGAAAAGAACTTGGCCGCTCGTGCTTCCTTCAAAAAGTGCGCGAGATGCATTATTGTTATCGCGAGTACAAAATCTTAGAAAACATTTGCGCATCTAGAATGGTGGTTTTATGCAAACTTCACCCGCAGCAGGGTAGCTCCGAGAGAGAGTATTAAGTCGTGAGAAAACATTCCTGAGAATATACAAGCTTGTAAGAAAATACTCTGACAGGAAGTGAAGTGTGTCGAAGAAATATAAGCGCGTGCGCGCGAAGATCCGGAAAAGAATTTCCACGGCGAGGGGCGCTGCCCTCTATCAAATTATATTCACAATAAAAATGTATATTAAAAATGTACAAAATAGTCTTATAAAAATCCTTCATGAGAGAACTACCGAAGCGTAACGCTACTGATACACGCGAGAGCGTAAGTGTGTCTGTGTGTGTATATGTAACGCCGATAAAAATATCTTTTCAAAGAGAGCAAAGGAAGGTCCAAATAAGATTAATAGCGTCACGAAGCGCCGGGGAGGAAGGGGTTGAATACCACTGGTCTATAATATCTTCAGGGAGCACCATGATAGACCCGTGCGCGCCTCTGTGTCCCACTTGGAAAAATGGATTAGCCATCTCGTGCCCGATTGACTTACACTAACGTAAATGCAACAATTTCGACCGAGCGTCGCGAAGGGGCGGGGCTCGGAGGTGATCTCCCGGCGCCACTTCCTCGCGTTCCCCGCGAAACCAAGGTCGGGAGGCGACATCGATTCCGGACAAGAGCGTACAGTGCGAATTCGACACGAGATTATTAATAAAATATCACAGTTCCGAGTCTGAAGAGTCGCTCTCTGAAAATCATGGCTCTCCCTACGTTTCTTCCCGTTTATGCTACCGTGTTCCGAGATAGTGTGATTCTTGATTTTTTTTTTCTTTTTCTTTAATCGTAAGACATCCTAGTTAACAACAATCCTACACTCTACTCAGTAAGATTAGCTAGTTCGGAAACCGTAACGTTTAATAATAATACGTAGTCCATATACAACTCGCTAGGGATGCTGTAGACTGTGTGTTTACTGGCTGCTAAATGTTTCCAGGTGAATACTGTACGTATGTTTACGCGTGTTTAAATGGTATGGAAAAAGGTTCAAGATGACACGTAGGAGACGCGCGACTTGAACTCATCGCCGTCGTTCGGCGAATGTCGACCTCGGCGCGTCAAGAAAAGGAGAGGAGACAATGAGATGCGCGTTCTAAAAATCAAATTCACGGAAGAGTGATGTATAATGCAAACCGACGTGACTCCTCGCGATGCAACGCTTTCGTTTCCGAAATCGCCCTTTCTTGAAATAAAGTTGACACGTCTTGTGAGCGATCTCGTTGAGATTTCAATAAAATGGCTAAAAAAAAAACAGAATTATAAAAACAGAGTTTGTAAGAGAAGCTATAAAAAAAATTAATGTTTCAGACTTGGGTTTCATTTCATCAAATTATATAAAAACTCGATTATACTTCTGTAAGTGAAAATGAAGAGAGAGAGAGAGAGAGAATCCAACACAACGCAAGGCTGTGAGAGAACCGGTTCTCGGAGCGGAACCGTTGAATCGCAAAGAGTCACGGCATAACAGTCGAATATATCGCTATGATATATAAAGTACATCATATGGTAGAAGAGAAGAAAGCATCTCATTGAACAGTAGACTCTAATACAGTTCATGCACGTAGGTACTTCAACGAACATCTGCATTTTATAGTATAGCATCAATAATGTCAGTGTGGTGTCTATACAGCTTGCAAGTATCCATTACTCTTCCTGTATCGTCCGAGGGGAATCAGTCGAATTATTTCAAATTCGTTAGAATTGTTAAAAACTTGTTATGGCAATTCTTTCTACGTCTCTTGTTTACAGATGAAGACTTTGACACAGCAACATGAGCTAAAAAAAAAAAAATCGAAAATCTTTCCGAAGAGAAACGATCAACCGTGTTTGAATAGAAAAATAACATCGCCGATGTTCTTTCCTTAATCTCTTAATTCTTTCGAAAAAGAACGAATTTCCAATTAATGCTCTGTTGTCATCTGTGGTGGCGATAAAATCTCTGAAGAAAACAAATTCACAGTCCCGTGCGAAACACTTTTTTCTTAGCCATGTTGCTACTACCGGCTCTTGAAGTACGGAATTTACGAATTGAAGACGCGCACGTCATTGGCTATGATCGTTGATCATTGTTAGAGAATTTCGCTAGAATGACCCTTCCCCTCTTCACTACATGGACTATATAAAAATGAGCTGAGTGACGTGTAAACGCTTGAAGCTAAATGATAGTATACAGCGCTGCTCTCCCTTCGATCATTCGGATGGTACAATTTACTCCTCATTCAATCTTGCCAGTCACACGCAGTCAGCAACTTATCATTTCGTACGTGAAAGAAACTACCGTTACTCGCTACGGTGAGCGGCGCCGGAGACACGGCGGCATGTAAGTGATAATAATCTGGGCAAAAGACATCGCGCAAGTACAAAAAGTAGAAAAAGTCACGGGTAGAACGCAATTAGTCGGTCGTAGCGTGTTTGGTAAGAGAAAACGTACTTCTCAATCTAAATCGCAGCGTAGCCTAAGCGCGCGTAAAAGAATCTCTTGTCGCACCAAGTCATCGAGGAGACTCGTGAGACTGGAGGATCAAACAAAGGAGTGACTTGTACCGCTTCGTAACGGGTACGTTCCACGGTGGAGTTAACTAGTGAACAAACGCATCGCAAGGACATCGCATTTGACAGTCGAGTGATTAAAGTATTCTGAACATTTCAACAAATTGCACGGTTCAATGTTGACGACGACGATCGCGTTCACGCTCGCGATCGAATCTCTCTTAATATTTCAATATTTGTGACTAAATATTTACATCGATGCGTTTTACAGCTTTCAGTCTATTAAGCTTCGGAACCGCGACGGTAACCGCCTCCGAGTCTTCGCGACGGCTCTTCTTTCGCTTCGCGACCATTAAGATTACCCTTTAACCCCATCACTTCCCTATTGTGCGGGTGGTTGAGGCTCGCTGGACATGTTGGGATTCGGATACGGCGACAGGAAGGAATAGTTGGGATACGGCGGCGGCGGATGCGGGAACGGCGGGTAATAATTGGGAGGATGCGAGGAGGGAGGGGCGTATCCTCTGTGCATGTAGGGATCCGTCGGGGGTGGCGGACCGTGAAACGCCGAGTACATGCGAGCGTAATCCGTGTTGTAGCTTGGCCCACCGTATGCCGGATATCCGGGTGCTCCTGCAACGTAATCGCTCGTTAATGTTTCGCAAACCAGCGCACAAAGCCATCTCGGAAGAGTCCCTGTTCTCGAGTTAAGGAGGTTACTAGCGTTTGGATAAATACGATAAACCTGTGATATGTACATCGGGATACATGTAAGCATATATTTAAACACTTATATACTTCTTTATATTATCTGTACATCTTTATTAGATCAACTGATGCATTAATAAGAAAAATAAAAAATAATATTTTCGAATTTGTAATATTGTTGGGTTAATGAAATAAATGTATGGAAATGAAATTTTGTTCGATAAATAGTAAATTTATGAAAGAACCTCTTGATACGCCATTGGCACTTAATGCTAGAACCTCCTTAAGGGCAACCCTTTTCTCAAAAGATGAGGGAAATTAACAGGCATTAACGAATTAAGCTTGAAGAGGTTGCAAGGTGAGATGAGTTTACCGAGCTAAGTAATTAATTTTTGTAATTTAGATAATGAAATAAATGTGTAGAAACATAATTTTGCTCGACCAATATTAAATTTATGAGTAGACCCTTCGATGCGTTATTGAAAATACGACACCGAGCTTTACGACCTCTTTAAACGTTTAAAACAAATTAAGCTTATAATGGATCAAGCTTAAAAGGTTTATTACGAACTTCGCACTCCGTCCTCTCTTATTCGATTAATTAAAGACTCACCAGCTGGCGGATAAGCCGCGGAAGAGCCAGGCGCCGGTGGATAATGCTGGGAGTACGGGTCGTACGGGCCCGGCGGATACGGGCCTGGGTAACGCGTGCTGGTGGGGTGGCTAAATGCAGTGGGTATATGCGTGGTCTCATCCCTGCTCGAGGTCGCCGTGGTAGTCGTCACCGAGTTCTCCGTGCTCTTAGACTCCGTGGCGCTACTCGTCAGCGTTTTGGCAGTAATGCTCGATACTTGAGAGTAAGCGGTAGGCACGTTCATCACACTCCTCTCGTCCATAGGCTTTCCTAGGTCCGGCGGAGGCTTCGTGTCTACTGGCAGTCGACTGCTGGGATTCGCCGTGTGCGGCGGTACGCCAGGGAAATAAGTGCCGTAGGGATTGGACAGCGAGCGGGAACGCGGATCGCTGTAGTCGTAGTATCTCGGGTATTGGGCGTAGGGATATCCTTGAGGGACGCTCGGCGGGTCGCCCTGAATCATGTTGTCTCGCATACTCGTCGGCTCGGCGCTCTTCGGGGAGGTTAGATTATTAGTGCTGGTGCACACGGAGGTGACCGATGACGCAATGACGGGCGAGTCGGCGATACTCTTAGGTGGCTCCGGGCCTCTCACAGGCGCGGACGGTATCGGCATGCTCGACGGCAACGGCATACTCGTTGGTACCGGCATGCTCGTCGGCACCGGTATGCTCGTCGACACTGGCATGCTCGTCGGCATCGGCATGCTCGTCGGCACCGGTATACTCGTTGGTACTGGCATACTCGTTGGCACCGCCATACTCGTTGGCACCGGCATACTCGTTGGCACCGGGATGCTCGATGGTATCGACATACTCGATGGTATCGACATACTCGACGGTATCGACATACTCGACGGTATCGACATACTCGACGGTATCGACATACTCGACGGCACCTGCATGCTTGATGGTACTGGCATACTGGACGGTACCGGCATACTGGGTGGTACCGGCATACTGGACGGTACCGACATGCTCGATGGTACCACTTGTGGCGTCAACAAAGACGGCATCGGTCCTGGAGTGGTTACGTGCGTCTGCGTGACCGCCTGCGGCGTCACTTGCGGCGGTTCCTCAATGATGATATCGTCGTTGGGTGCGTCCCGCTTCTCCGTCTGGCTGTGGAAAGATCTGCCGTAGCTCGGTATCACGGAGTCCGGCTTGGATGGTTCTTTCTCCGGCGGTGAACATTGCTTATCAGCGGTCGACGGTAATTCCGGCTCTACTTGGTTGTGTTGCGTTTGAACACCTTGCGCCAACGAAACGGTGTCGGACGAGTAAACCTGAGTACCCTCCTCGGAAGATTTCGGCAAGGACGTGTCAGTGTCCGAATTCGTGGTTCGCGTGTGATTAGAGGGACTGTACTCGGTGTTAGAGCTCACTTCGGCCACCACGTCCTCTAATCTAACTTCCTCGACTCGTTGTTCGGTTCTCACTTGACCGTCGGATGAATTGGAATTTTCCCCGAGCGTGGAATGATCCACTGGCTCTTGCTTGACTTTGGGTAACCTTGACAGAGATACCTGATTAGTTATGTTAACATGATTCATATAAGGTTTAGCAGTCGCGGTAGCGACAGGTTTAGGTCTCTTGGAGATCTCCTTGTCGCCGAACGGTTTGTAGCCCGGGCCAGGTGATGGTTTATTAAGAGGACGGCCGCTGGTTTGATTACTCGAGGATGATTTGGGTATTATTGAAATAGCAGAGTTGTTTCGCAAGGGGAAGCCAACCTCGGGCTTCGAATTCCTCTGTATCATCGAGGAAACGCCTGCGAAATATGAAGTGTCGAATTTAGAAGTGAAATTAATAACCAAACAATATATGAGAGTAAAGGACGATACGCGGACGATTAAAGATCTAATTCGCATGCATTTATTTTATATATATATATATATATATATATGCCGAAGATGCAGATACAAATTATTTTATTATCTGAACATTTCCACCGTATAATTTGGTCATCTTCAGCAGAAATTGACACAAATTATAGATAATTATGGTTATGAGCAACGGAATAGGTCGTAGGTAGAAAAATAAGATTTTAATGAAAAACTACTATAGTATTAAAAACTAATATGCAGATATTATGTACAAATTTAAAAATTGATAATTTTGTTTTAAAAATACAGCGATGTAAAGTTCATAATTTATAATAATATTTATAATATTGTGTACATATACCTACTTCAACTTTGTTGAAAGTGAATATTATTTAGATAATGAAATAAATGTATAGAAATGTAATTTTGTTTGACTAGTATTAAATTTATGAATGGACTCCTTATTGCACCACTGAAGATACGGCAATAATGGGCATATATTCTTTTCTTAACAATACATCGTAAAAAAAAAACTTAACCACAATATATCATCATTCGTATATATATCGTGATGAAAATTATAAAATTAACATTAATAATTTGATGTATTATAATATAACATTTAGTAAAAAAAAAAAAACTTACCAATATTCTCGCTAATAATTTGCCAATTTCTTGCTAATATATCATATTGATATCCATAAGGTGGAAGAGAACACGGTGAAGAAAACGGTGTCAAATGGTTATAATTGTAAACTGACGACAAATTGTAAACTGACGACAAAATCATAATGTATACGTTAATGTGCAAAGTTTGTTATAAGTTTGTTGTAAATAAAAAAAGAAAAATTAAAAAGAGAACATTAGATGAAAACAAACAATTCTTATACAAGGCCCGATAGCGGAAAGTATCGTCCTTTATTTTTATATTGTTTGCTTAAAACTGATGGTACTTTCGAATATAACAGAATAGCTGGAATTATAATCATATCATAACGACATCATAACGATATAATAGCCTCACCTTTCTTTGGCTCCTCTTCCCGCTTCTGTTGATTCAATTTAAGCGCAGTGCGAATTGCTATAATCTTGCCAGATTCGAGCTGCATGTAGATACCCTTCGGGCTCTTGAGCACCATTACCCGTTGGCCTGCCTTCAAAACGATGCTTCCTTTGTCCGGGGAGTTGGTCGGAATGACAACGTCTAAAGGTAGCGTCATCTCTTGCGCGCTCATTCCTTGCCTCTGCCACACCTCCGCTGGAATCCATCTGCTTCCGGTTACACCTCGTGCGCCTAATCCTTCAGCACCTCGTTGTTGCATAGGTCTTACAGATGCGACAGGTTTAGGTGTGGTACTTCCATCGCCACCGCGAATCGCTCTGATTTGTAATCCACCTGCTAAAATGATTATTATAATTATCTCGTCCTTTAATCAACTTTATTTTCAAATTTGACTAATAAAACATATTATAAAATCGACCATAGTTATGCAAAAAAGATCCAATTCACGTACGTTTCAATAAAAATGTGATACATGATTTAAAAAGTATAAATAGTACTGAAATTTTTCTTAATCATTCAGGATATTTTTCATTGTTTTACCATGTTATCACTATTGATATCATTCGAGTTATGGGTCTACACGAATTTTTTTTTTTAATAGTTACCACAACCGACTTCAATGATTTTGCGATTTCCAAATAAATATTCTCAACGAGGGACGTAAATCATACCTCGCGTGGCTGTGTTTCCTGGAACATAGTTGTAACTCGGCCTCGAGCAGTTAGCTGCCATTTTCTCAAGCTCGTAGCCGCGACGGGCCAATCGTTTTTCAGCTTGACTGAGCTTCTTGTCCTTCCGATCTACGAGCAAGCTCTCGTGGTGAAACGGTTGTTTGGTCAACAACGAAGAATGACGTTCGAGTACACAATGCATAACTTCATCCGAATAACTATCCTTGGTCTGCGAGAAATCCTGCACTTGGCTATCCTCCTCCCATTCCCACGATAACGTCGTCGCTTCCTTCAACGAAAGATGCGCGTCAGGATTACACTGATCGACAACACGATCCGCCATGCCCTGCTTACTGATCTGTCTGTCGTATATTTTCCTTTCCAGGCAATTGTCGGTGACTAAGCGGTAAACGAAACACGGCTTCTGCTGGCCGTACCTGTACACCCTGCACACGGCTTGTGTGTCGTGGCACGGGTTCCAGGAAGCGTCGAATACGATCGCGCGATTTGCGCCCACAAGATTGATACCTAATGAGCCAGCCCGCGTTGAGACCAAAAACAAATGGATCTTCGGATTGCTGTTGAATTCATTGATCAGTTTTTCTCGCTCCAAAGCACTGGTGCTACCGTCCAGCCTGTAATAATTTACGTTCTTGATCCAAGCGTCGGTCTGTCCGTCCGGATACTTTAAGCTATTTCGCGCCAGGAAGTCCTCTATGAGATTCAATGTGAACAGCGACTGCGAGAATGCGAGTACACGGTCTCCCAGTCTGATAGCTTCCTCAAGGATGCAGAAGAAGAGTGTCATTTTTCCAGAAGCGTCTATCAATCCGGGTACGTAACCCTTCATCAATTCTGTCGCCTGCAACAAAAGTAAATATTGCACAATTACCATTCCAGCACAAAATAACGATACGATTAATTCCTCGAGACAGATCTAATTAAGATTAAATAAACATTTACGTTTGATTCACTTTAGTTGCTTTCGAACAAGAGACACAAGTCGACTCAAGTCCAGTTATATCATCATTTGTCCTTATCTCGCATTTGGTAAAAAGATAATAGATGATATAACTAGATTTGTTGTCGACTTGAATCTCTTGATGAGAAGCAACCGTTGTATTTTATCACTTTAAAGTTTGTGAAAATTATTTTGTTGTGTACATAAAAGGATTTATTTTTAACTTTCGCCATCTCATCTATGAGAGTAAGATGACGCAATTGACACGTTCTCGAAAAACTTAAATTGAACAAAATTCTAATGTATTTATACATTTTCAGTTTACGTAGATAATAAGCGAGGCTTTTAGCTACTCAAGAGAAAAACTTGATCATTATCTGACGTTACTACGAAAATGAGGAAAATCGAGAAACTCGAACTCTCGTCATCTTATCCCCCTTTCCCCTATGTGATTTCACAGTTCGTAATTTTATCCTTTTCTTCCATACTTGCAATACTAGTATAAGAAAATATATATACTACATCCCAACACAAAATGATATGACATACCCAATCATACGGAATTCCAGGATCGTCTTTGCTACAAGGGGAACTCTTGCAGTCCTTCTCCTCGTCCTTGGTGAGAATCTCGTCGTCAGATTTCTCCTCCTTATCCTTCTCCAATTGCTCCTCCTTCTCCCTCTCGTCCTCCTTTGACAAATCGTTCTGATTCAAGCGAGGACTGTGCGCCGAATTGATCGTCTGCACGGACCTGGGTATCGGGGTCGCCGAGGTCTGGCGGCTCGGTTCCGCGTTGAAGCCGGGCGTGCCGGTGAGATTGCTCTGATGCATCGGCTGGCTCTGCACACCGATGCTGGATGTCATGTCTTTGCTGCTCTTGTCGCAGGGCGCGACATTCGGCGGATGAGCTGCGGCCTGCTGCGACCCCTTCGACTCGTCCGGCCGTTGATTCATATCCGCGGAGCCGGTCGTCGCGTACTCGGTGTACGACTGATTCGGGTAGCTCTGCGGCGGGAAGTAGTTGTTCTGATAACGATTCACGCCGGGATTCATCTGCTCGCGGTAATACGTGTCGCTGCACTGCTGATCCGGCCTGAACGTCTGCGGATAATTGCGCTGCCAATACGGATCGTCGGTACCTTTCATCTGGGCGACCGCCGGGTTCTGATGCGACGATCCGTCGGACGTCGGGTAATTCGGCATAACGGGGTTCTGCGTTTGGGCCTGACCGGCAGCGGTGTAGTTGCCGCCGGCGTTGCCGCCGCTGGCGTTCGCGCCTGGCCGATCGCCCGAGAATTCGCCCGCCGCCGGCGTGTAGCCCTGCGTCTGTTGCGACACCGCGCTGTCCTGCCTGGAGTACAGCTGCTCGTTCGGACCCAGCGACGTGGTACTCGCTTGCTGTTGGCTCGGTGGATACGTCATCGATTGGCTCTGGCTCACCTGCTGCGCCGCGCCGCCGTAACGGTGAGCCTGCGGAGTCTGCGGCATCGCGCCCGTTCCCGGGTGACTCGAAGGGTAAGTCGGATGAGCCTGATTGGATGGCGGTGCCGTCTGGCCTTGCTGATTCTGTTGAGGATACGGGGACCCTTGACTGGAGGCTGCGGGCGCTATATGATGACCGTAGCCGTGGACCGCGTTCTGCGGGTTCGACGGCGGACCCTGCTGATCCGCGGGATACCTGTGCGTCTGATTCTGCGCGTTGACGTTCTGACCGGCGGGCTGATTGGCGGCCGGGTAACTCGGCTGCGGCGCCGGAGTGTAGCCACGCATCGGACCCTGCGGCATGGAGCCTTGACCCGACTGGCTCGGCTGCATGTAACCGTGCGACTGGGCCTGCGGCATCGGGCCTGACTGCTGTTGGTTGAACGCATGCGGAGCCTGCGGCGCGCTCGGGTTCACCTGCGTCGCGTAACCGTGCGACTGGCCCTGAAGAGACACACCCTGGCTCTGCTGGCCGGTGTACGGCGAGTGCGACTGGCTCTGCAGCGCCAGATTCTGATTCGACTGACTCGGCGAGAAGCCCCGATTCTGACCCGGCGACGGATTCTGCCCTTGCTGCTGCTGTGGCGGTGGCATGTAACCAGTGGTCTGAGACTGCGCCGCTGGAGATGGGCCCTGCTGAGACGCTGGGTACCCGGCCATCGAGCTCTGCAGCGACTGAGCGTCGTTGCGAGGGTACATCTGGGAGTTGGCCTGAGGTGTCGGCGTCGGTGTGTAATTTGGATTCTGACTCGCGCCGTACGACGAGTAGTCCGACATCGGCATGTTCGCCGACTGGCTCGGCATCTGCGACTGGAAGGAGGGCTGGCTCGGGACTTGAGGGTAATTGCTAGGCCCTTGATTCAAGTTCGGCGTATAGTTGCGCTGCTGCTGCTGCTGCTCCTGATAAGGATAGCCTTGCCGCGGGAACATACCGGACGCCTCGTAGTTGCCGCCCTGGCTCTGATCCGACCTGAAGTCCGAGCCGGTCGACGTGCCGGTGTACCTCTGAGGGTGACTCGAGGACTGCTCGTTCGACTGCATGTAGTTCTGCGACTGATTGCCGTATCCCTGCGACGCGTTGTAGCCTGAGGTCTGAGCGTACGACTGGAACGGCTGATTGCCGTACCTCTGTTGGCCCGGATTGTTGTAGAACTCCCCGTGATTGTATTCCCCGTGATTACTGTCGTTCCTGTAGTACGTGTTCTGTTCGTTCGGCCGGTAGCTCTGGTAGCTATGCGAGGGATACGAGCCCTGCGACATGGAGTTGGAGTAGCCGGAATTGGAGACCGGCATTGGGTAGTTGGTGTAATTATTCTGCTTGGGAGCGCTGTGAGCGTTCTCCGGCTCGACGCTGTCGACGCTGGTCGACGAGGAGGCATTCGGCTGCACGCTGGCCGCAGGCTTGTTCTTGATCGTCGTACTCGTCTTCTTATTCTTCTTCGATTCTCCCTTCGCCTGGCGCGCTTTCGACCTCTTACTACCCCCCGCGCTCTTCTCCCCGATCGTCTCTTCGAGGTCCAAGTCGTCCTCCTCGTTCGCCTGCCGCTTGCGCAGGAAATGGTATAGGATGTCCGGGTGGTTCCAGATTTTGCAGCACACGGCGAAAGCTTTGAGCGGGTTCGGCACGGCGCGTGTCTTTACCACTTGATTCATGAACGTGTCGTACAGCTGCCGTTGATGGGCCGTCATACGAACGAGGAGGATGTACTCCTCTTTGCGCGGCAGGGATATCTGCAGCACCGAATGCGATCGCCTCTGCACGAAACCCTCCAGCAGAGCGTGCAGAACGTGAGCGCGATACCTCATCAGGCGTATGTCCTGCGGCGTAGAGTCGATGCATTGTCCGTTCTGAATCGGTCGCTCGAACATGTTGCAGAATTCGCTCTTGGTACCCAGGTAATTGGGTCTCACGAAGTCCACCATGCACCAGTATTCCAACAGATTATTCTGCAGCGGATATCCGGTCAGCACGATTCGACGTTTCGTCCGCATCTGCTTCAACGCCATGCTGATGCTGGCGTGAGAGTTCTTGATCCGGTGGCCCTCGTCGCAGATCACCAGGTCCGGTCCCGGGCTGACCAGGGCCGAGTGCATCTCGTCGAGCAGGCCCTTGTTCTTGTCTTCCTCCTCCACGTCGACGGTGTCCTTGAAGGGCTGGCCGCGCTTTCGCTTCGCCTTGTTCGGCTTCTTCAGGGACAGTTGCCTGTACAGTTCGTAGCCTATCAGCAGCACACCGCCCAACGCCTGCCACTCCTGTATCACCTTAGCCCGCGCCGCCATGGTTTTGTGCGAGTCGTTGAGGATGTGCAGACGGAAGTGCCTCGGCCGCATTTCCATACCGACGGGAGTGTCCACGCAGAACGGTGTCTTCACCTTCTCCACTACCTCTTTCTTCTCCTCCGTCATCTCCTCCTTCACCGTCGACGTGCCCTCTTCCTTCTTGATCGTCTCCTCCGGTTCCTTCTTCACGTTCACTTCCGCGCTAGGTAGCGGCGGCCCGTGCATGTTCTCTTTCTTCGACTCTTGCTCCAAGTGCTCCTGATTATTGGTCTGGCTGCCGTAGCTCGCGAAGGTGCCGGTGGAGACGCTGTTGTAGCTCGGATACATCGGGCCGGGATGGTGATGAGCGCCCATGCCCGGATACATCGCCGCCACGGGGTTCCGATTCTCCATGTCGGGATACATGGGAGCCTGCGGCCGACTCTCCATAACGCCGGCATACATGACGCCGGTAGCTTGATTCTCCATGGCATACTTCGGCGGCATGCCATGACAGTTGACGTCCGGCGGCTTCATCGGGTCGGGCGGGAAAGGATTGGGCAGAGGGTTCGGAGCCGCGCTGTACAGCGAGCTCTGCGGCATCTCGCCCTGATGATAACTCGGCGGCATGTGCGGCTCCATCATGCTCTTGTTCATTATAGCGGCGGCGTCCGGCATCCCGTAGCCTGGCATCATGCCGCGCGGTTCGTAGACGTGATGCGTGTACGGATGCGTGTCCGTCGGCATGACGTTCATCGGCTGTTGCTGCGGCGGCGGTGGCGCCGTGACGGCCGGCTCCTGGCTGAAACGGTGAGCGGATTCCGTGCTGATCGGCCGCGACATACCGGACATGTTGGACATGTTGGACATGTCGCTCTGATTGCCGCATTGTTCCTCCTTCACCTCGTGCTTCACGTCCATTCCGGGCTCCATCTTCACGTTCATCGCTTTAGACTGCTTCTCGGCGGTGGTGGCGGGATCCTCATACGGCAGCCACATGTTGAACTCCGCCAGCCAGTTCTGCAGGGTGTTGATGGGCATGATGCAGAGCACGGTCTTGGCGGTGGTGCAACGAAAAAAAACGTCGCAGAAACTGGCGACCTGCAGGGTCTTGCCCAGGCCCATGCTGTGGGCCAGGATGCAGCCGAAGCCGGAGCTGGTCTTGTACCGTTCTATGCTCTCGACGATGTTGTCAAAGAGGAAGCGAATGCCGCCGATCTGATGCGGCTTGATGATACGAGCCACCTGCGGCGCCAGGAAGACGTCCGGTTCGGTGTCGGGGTGGCCGACGTTGATCAGCACCCTGCCGTGCTCGTCCGGAATGTTGTAGCGGTCGTTGGTGTGCATACCGGAGTTGGACGGGTCGTCCTCATTGTCGGTCTCCTCTTCGCCGCTGGGATCGCTCAGAACTATGCAATCGTCGTCCGAGCTCTCGCTCGAGCTGGATATCGTCACCACGTCCTTGCCCTTGGGCGGCTTCTGGTACTTGGGCCCGGTCAGCTTCCGCGAAGCGTGCATCTGCTTCTCGCGCATCGTCTCCTCGGTCTCTATGTCCGACATATCGGAGTCGGAATAGTATTCCGTACGGTCCATCGGCTCCTTCTTAGGCACCACCGGCGATATGCTCACAGACGGCGTCATCATGCGGATCCTCTGCTGCAGCATGTTCGGAGCGCCCGAGCGACTTGGCACCCTCGAGATCGACGTCTGCGTGCTCTGATAGCCGCCCCTACCTTTCTGCCAACGCACCCCGTCCATCGATCTTCTCTGCAGCTGTCCCGGCTGCATGCCGACCTGAGCGGCCTGCGACGCGCCGATCCCGGTGCCAGAGTTCACCTTCAGCAGCACCGTGTTCGGCAGGCGGACCTGCGTAGACGACGTCGACGAGGACGAGGACTGCGAGAGCGTCGTCGTACCAAGTTGATTCTGCTTGCCCTGCAGAAGACTGATAACGCGCGTCTGCGACTTATTGTTCTGACGATTGATCGCTATCTGCCGCTGCACTTCGCGGATGATCCTCTGCTGCTCCTGCACCCGTCTCAAACGCTCCATCTCTTGCCGCTGAGCGGACAGCGTGGCCTCGTCCAACTGTGTCTCGTCCATCACCTCGCGAATGTTTCGCCGCATGTTGGCCAGCTTCTTCTCCGCCTTCAACTCGCATTCCGATGTGGAGCCCTCGGCACCATCGTCCTTCTTCGCCTTCTTCTTCGTCGAGTCGGAATGTTCAGAATCCGCCTGTCTCTTACCGTCCGTATCCTCCCCGCCGGAGTGACCATCCTTGTCGATGTCCATGCTCTCTTCATCTTCCGAGTCTTTCAATATCGGTTTCCCTAGTAGGTCAGCTTCGGATACTTCCTGACCTTCGATAGGCGCTCCTTTTGGTAATACAAAAATGAGATCGTTAAAATACAGCGGCAACACAACGCAGATCGAGATACAGCTCTTGATTGCGTCACAAATTACTCTAACAGAGAAATATTGCAAAAGAATAAATCAATCTCATAGCAAACTTGTAAGATAACATCATATAGCTGAAATCATGTGGATTGAAGATTTATCAACAATAATATATTATTACAGTACTTTTGTGGAACGTTCAATTACTTCATGCAAATTCAATCGTATTAGATTCAAATTTATTTACTAATTAACGCAGCTAAGTCAATTTTATTCTAAGGCAGCTGAAAAAGAACTCGAATTAGATTAAATTGAAACAGAGGGATCAGTCTTATGCCCTTTTCTACCATCACGTTTTAAATCTAATCGACGATTAACTCAACGGAATTGACCAATCGCATTGATCAGTTCAGCTAATTGTCCAGGTGACTGGTCAATTCCGTTGAGTAAATCGTCGATTAACTTAAACCACGATGATAGAAACGAATATTACTGACCTAATATGCTAGGTGGAAATTAATAAAATTACTACGCATATCATAAGATTATTAATGTCATAAGATCATCGATTATTAAAGTCATAAGATCATCAATTCAACGTCAAATTTTATCACATTACTTTGCGTTAGACTCAACATATCCAACATAAAATTCTACTCACATCTTATCAGCATTCCAACACTCACCTTCCAGCGGTAATGTGTCTAAGATATTAACTGGCTCCTCATCATCCTCTTCCTGAGACGGATGGTGTTGCTGCCTCTCCGCCTCTACCCTCACACCGATCTGTGAATCGATTGTTTCGTCGAGATCCATGTCGTCACCCGAGCCCTCGGAGCGTATCTCTTCGATCTCCTCCGATTGCAAAGCGTCGAGTTTCTTCTCGTGTTCTCCGTCCGTCGTCTCGCCGCTCGACTCGTCCGAGCTCTCGTCGTTAGTCGCCTGCGGTTCCGTGTTCATGTTCGCACTGGTCGCAGTCTCACTGGTCATGATCGTTTCGCCGGGCTTAGGGCCACCGCGAGGTGTCACGCGTTCAATTGTGACGTCTCCGATGCGTGTCAGAAAGCTGTCCAGACTATTAGACATGGTGTGCACCGTCCATTAAGTCACGACCGCGTTTACCTTATCGATATCTTACAGTATATCATGTGGAATGTCTCTCGACACTTTTTATTACCACAACACTAACAATCTACTTGCTTAGCACTTACATTGCTTAATTGCCATTCTATATCCCTCTCCTGCAATGACACGTGTGTTTATTTCTTTTGTATTCATATTATTTCGTCAAATCTGTCAAATAGCCAGAATCCATTCGTTATGTTGCCGACAAGAAGAGAAAACGCGCGGGACAACATTAAACCAATATAAAACGTGGAAGTCCTTATTACAGATATGTATATATATAAAAGTAGGAAATGCTAATGGCGCCAATACATGAATGAAAGAATGAAATGTTCAAAGTAACGCAGGACACGTTCTAACTCTCACGAGTAAACCAAGCTTCATGCAGTGGCATTGGTGTAAAAAAAAATCTAATCAGAATATGTAATCAGAACTGATATAAGAAAATAGTTGAGTGATGTAATTAAAAAAAAAAAGTAATAGTGAACTTGTATCGACAGATCACAGAGACTGAAAAGTTCTTGGCAATGTATTCAACTCTGCTGTCTCTTTCAGTTTGTATTCATTTATATTTATAAGCAAAACGCAACTGATACTGGCAAAATATTCCAGACTATCTCAACTCATAATGTATAAAATGAAATATTCATTGATTTAGAAGAAATATGCAGTAAGGAATCTGTTTATCTCATCCTTTCTATCCATCTTATCTAGCTTCTTCTTCGAAACATGCTTGACTCAGTATTGCATCATAACAAAATGATCTCACCAAAAATATTAATGTAATCTCTTCCTCTTTCTCTCCCTCTCTTTCACAATGTATTTCTACATACAAGAGTAACGCTTGACTAACTCGCAAGATTTCCTCGTTGCATGTGTGTAAAAAAAAAAGAAATCAAACACCCGCTGATAGCACCTGTATCAAGCGTTAGAACAGCGAGGAGGTGACACAAAGGAGATTTGCCAGGCGTAACTCTCGCGGAATCTTCCCTGCAAGCAACCATACTCGCTCGCTGTGTAAAACTACAATACAGGAAGCACACTCACATCAGCTGCCTGCCAACGATTCAACTGTCCCGTTGAACAACAGAGATCAGCCCAGGTGTAGTCTAGCCTCATACACGTGAGCAGAGTAACCAGGACGTCCCTCTGAGAGAGGCTGGCTGCGCATGTTGTCCAGAGTGATCCACAACAGTGAATGAGAACTGTTAAACGTGAAACAAAGCAACGCACGAAGGAGGATACGAGCACCAGGATACAACGGGTAGGCCAGAATGTTTGTTTACACACGGCGAGACTGACACTACCACTGTTTCTTTCTTTCACTTACTCTCTCTCCTCTCTCTCTCTCTCTCTCTCTCCCTCTACCTCCCTCTCTCTCTCTCTTTTTCACTCTTCCTCTTCCTCCTGTTACGTGTACCGTCGTTGCGGACGACGACGTCGCGCGTCCCGGCGTTCTCACCTCACGATCACGCGCGCGCGACGGACGCCATGGCCGGACGACGGTCTCGCGTCCGATCTCGCAATCACCGTGACGAACGACGTCCCGATGCCGCCTCACGTCCGGCGAACCGCGCGACAGCTCGGCCGGATCGTCTCTGCCATGCCAAGCAGCACGAGGAGGCAGCAGCTCCTCGTCCGCGCTGCGTATCGCTCAGCACCGCGTCCCTGCGCACCGTATCGCGCCGTAACGTACCGCACACCGCAGCCGTTCAGCCCCGCGCGCACCACTTAGGTTAATCGGCTGCTCGGGTAATACCCCCGATAGTCTCTCGCGCGCGCGCGCACGCACTCCCGAGCGCACTTCCGATTCCCGGTACACCTACTCACGCGAGCTCGCCAGCGCGCGAAGCGTCGCTGGTCGTCGCGGCTCCCCGCGGCATTTTTTTTCCTCACGCGCTCTTGCCCGACAGCGTATTCCGCTCGGCGAACGCCATCTTGGCCGATCTCCGACCGCGCCACCGTCGCGCCGCCGCCGTCGAGAACGCGAGCCGACGAATCACGTTCGCGGCCGTGGTTGGCGGAAGTGGTTGGTTCTCCAGGGTGCGCGCTGTGCTTCGGCCGTCCGACCGAAGGTGATGCAAGAGGTCTACGCTCGGAGGGTCGTTCACGAACCTTCTCCGCCGCGTGAAAGTAGAGGAGAGAAAATTTCCTCGTGAAAAACTAACGTTCCTTTCCCAGCTTAGGGGAGCATTTGTAGATATTCACTTTTCACGAGTTCCCACCGGAGAGAATACTCGTGATCGCCTCCTGGAGCAAAAATTTATGCATTCTTATTCCGACGGTGATAGTCACGCTTCCCAAGGTGTGTTTCTCAGACCCGGTTTTTCGTTTTACGGTCAACTCGTGGTTAAACTGGTGATGATGCAAAAATTGTTCCTCCATTCATGGTTAATTATTAAATTTAACATGTGGTAAAGGAAGCTTGAATAATAAAATAATTATCCTAACTATTGTAAGATCCATGAAGTATAATTATAATTCATTATAAATATTATTTATCATCATAATTATCAAGTATCACTTTATATAAAATTATATACTTTATATGGCAAGTATCATATACTTTACTCAGAAATTTATTATACTTTATTCATAAATATGTAATTTAACTATGGACATGTATAATTATATATGTCCACACGAAATAAAAATACTATTGAATGAAAAGCAGAAGAAATATTCTGATAAAATTAAGTGTTTACATCATGGACAGCCATAAACGAATGAAAAGCAGAAGAAATATTCTGATTAAATTAAGTGTTTACATCATGGACAGCCATAAACACAACAGCGTTTACTTCACAATTATATTCGTATAATAGTATTTTTTAGATGTAGGACATATATAATTATATATGATTATATATAGATATATATGAACAAAATTCATATATAATCATTTTTCCCTGGATAGCTACATTACATCATATCAGAATATCTATCATTCACAAAGCAATTTAGATAAAACTATAACAATAATATTAATATAATTTGATTAAAAGATCAAGTTTCAGCTAATGTATACAAACTATTATTTATAGATACATAGAAATCTTATCTAGATCGCATAATTGATGATTTCTTAATTAGCATTCTCACAGGCGTCGATCCAATCATTGTACACATCTAAAGGTTCCGAGAGTAAGTTCACAGTTGTCTGAAAGTCCTCTAAGCACACTCTACATGTTATCTTGGCTGTGTTTCTCGATTTGTCCCTGTGTCATGGGAAAAGATAGAAATAGAATTAAATTCTTCTACTTATATAAAAGTAAATATAATAGTATTGATAATAATATAATAATATTGATAATATTGATAAATTTATAAAATTAACATAACTGACATGGCTATATCCAGAAAGTACAAGGATTAAGAAAAGTACAAGGATTAAGAAAAGTACAAGGATTAAGAAAAAGTGAACATTCATTGCTATTGGATGTTCTTTTCAATGTATCATGAATTTAAAAGTACATCTCAGTCAGAAACAATAATCACTCAACAATTGCATAATCTTTATATTTTCTGACACATCAAAAATTTGCATTTTTATCTCAAATTGCATCGAGTATTTATTTACTCAACATGCCAGAAAAACTCGTATTAGTTGATCACATTGATAAGGTATGATTCTTTCGTTACCTGAATAGAAGCGCGGATTTCCGATGTACTTACATTTTAACATCACATGACTTTTCATGATTGCAAAATGGACAATTGAATTGTGTGTCCAGTGGTTGGATAGCCTTCCTCTTAATAGGTGGCTTTCTTTTGCTCTTGCGCCGACCCATTTGATCGATAAACAATTGCGTGTACTTCACTCGATCTTCCTCTTCGTTCTACATAAACATCTCTACCAGTCCTTATTAAGATTGTACCGTGTATTGTGCTTTCTCCTATTTACTTATCCTTTGCGATAAAATTAGGTTAACTGTCTAAAACATTCCGCTTCAGTATCTACATAAATTTTATAAAAGTAATCGAGAACTTCACATCAAATCTTATCTATCGCAACTCTCACCGCGATCTTTACGAAGCTGGTTTATTGACGGATCACGCAAAACAACAAATCCCTTCAACCCGCAATATTCTTTTATGCCTATTTTTGTTAGGTTAGGTCAGGCTAGGTCAGGTTAAGTTGGTCTCGTTAAGATATTCTTTTTGTTTTCATGAGTTTCGAACAGGAGAAACATAAAATATTCTAGTGAAGTCTGTAATATACTGGAAGGTAAACTTGTTTGTAAATAGTCAAATTAAAATAGATATTATGTTCTCTGTCTTTTTCACGCATTGTACTTTGTGTCTCTGATATATTGTGTGCTATCGTTCTAACCTCCGTATAAACAAATAGCCCGATGTGTTTCAAGTGAATTATATTCGATAAAATTAAAAATTCTATATATTATTTTTAATCAAATTTTGAATTAGATTTATCGATTAGTATTGAAATACATTTGTAGTGTGATATTTTCAATTTCCGAAATACGTGTGTGACAGAGAATGGCAGTCCCTTTGGCAACCACGTCCTTTGGCTCGAGGTTATTCACGAGATCCACGTATCTTCATATTCCAGTTATCAATATGTTGCAAAGCTGACTAGATAGCCTTTTGTTCTTTGCACACATTTTTTTTCTTCGAACTTATTGCAATCAATTCGAATCTCTTTGAAAATTAAATTCTCAACATTCGAATTTTTGAGTCTCCCGAGAACTTGCCGCTTTTCCGTAAAGGTAGAAAGCTGATTGGTTACCGCGTCGTATCTTGCAACGTCGTATCTTGAGCGTTTCCACGTTTTATTTATTAAATCTTTGGATAAATATTCAAAATTTATTGGTACATACTTCTAGATTTTACCGGGATCTAAAAGTATATGCCAGTAAATTCTGGGCGAGCAATTCAAATTACAAAGAGTTATAAAGAGTTTTGTAGATGGCAGGTTCTATTATAATTTGATATCTTTTCGTATCGGTACACTGTCATTTCTAAGTTTCATTGAAGTGGTATCTTCACAAAGTTGATTACGAGAAGATATTTTATTCAATAATATTCGACTAAAATTTATCTTTCAGAAGTTATCCGTTGATAATGTCTGAAAAACGCAATGATAGTAATGGCAAAAATGTTATCTCAGACTATCGTTTGTCGGCCTGGCATCCAGAGATGATACTGGTGTCAAAAGCACCAGTCACATTGCAAGGTTTCTTAATCATTCCAAATTCACCCTCCGCTACGTTGGGTTGCATACAAACTAGAATAAAATTACAACTAATCGCACCAAATTATCCATCAGTTCGGGATGCACAGATTAATTTTGGCACAGCAATAGCCTTGCTGCGCGATAGAAAATTCGATAAAAAGATGAAAGAATTAATGAGTTGTGATGTAATGGTGCCTTCATTTTTAACACGATTACAATCACTCATTGTAAGTACTAGGTAATTATTTCAGCATTTCTTTCTTATACTAAAAGAATATTATATTGTGATTATATATTTATGAATAGGGTAAACATTTATATGATAAACACAATGAAAGTCATACGAACTATTTATCTTTAAGTAATTTTATGGAAGATTTACAATCAGTTCTTCCAAATCCATCTGTAAGTATATTTTTCTAAGATGTATCCTATAAATCATCAAGTCAATTAAATGTTGTTGAAGATAAATTATTTATACTATGTTTAAGGGTGTACAGTTGTCATGTGATGATAGGCTAAAAAATATTAAATTATCCTTAAATGATATATCTGTTATATTAGAAAGAAATGAAAACACTGAAGTTCCTTGGAAGATTATATCTTCTGATTTTCCCAAGATACTAGCCTTCGAAGGTTTTGAAAAAAATATAAAGAATTTGAGTATTGCGATAACAAAGTTTAAGTGGCAGGTGGAATTATTGGAGAAAGCATGGGAACAATTAAGGCAGATTGATAAGTAAGTACTTGTGATGCTAATGTTTGCAGTAGCTTTAGAAGACAAAAATGATGTTCGAAAGATCTTAAAAATATTTTTGAAAATATTTGTCAACACTTATCAATAGAATCGGCAAACCATGGAAAAAGTTACGCTTAAATTCAGATTTATTTTAAAATGTCTTCTTGCTAGAAATTGCTGGGTGATTGATCCGCCTGAGCCAAATAAGAGCCATATGCACAGACGTATTCACCTTTCACAATCCATATCTGTGATAATTACAATAGATCCACTAAAACCTACTGCTTTGCCAGAAATTAAATTCATAGGCAGCGATAGTGAGGTGAAAAAACAAGAAGAATATGCTTCCAATAATATTGGTGTAAGTTTTATAATTATGCAATTGTGGGGAGTGTAATAATAATCACAATTCACTTATGCATGACTAAAAATCTACATTGATATTTTGTAGAACTGGAATCTAAACTGTAGTCTTTTGGAGAATTTAAGGATGCTGCTGAATATGTATGAATTTCCTGAGCCACAAGAAAGTTTGGAGGACAAAAATTCTATTATTGGCAGTCGAGAATGCGGTATATGTTTCTTTGCGAAAATGGAAGAAACTGCTGTGTTACCTGATAAGATATGTAACAATAAGAAATGCATGATACACTACCATTCGGCATGCTTAGCAAAGGTAGGTATGACATATATGAAATATTTTTTTATTAGAAATGCAAGATATGTTTCATAAAGTAATGCGACTGACTGTAAAAGGTAATGTTTTTAATTACAGTGGTTACAGACAAAAGCCGGAAATCAAGTTGTATTCGGTCATATTCATGGCACTTGTCCACATTGCAAGGAAAATATATCATGTTCCATTGAATATTAACGATTCTCTCCAACTTTTAAAATATATTTTATTCAAATATATGTAAGTGAGTATAATTCATTTCTTGAATCCATTCTTTCATGGATCGATTGAACTCTGAAGTCCCACATATTAAAATCAACGTTGTCTCTGTATCATTACATTGAAGGTAATCAGCAACGAGTAGTTTGTTCAAGCGACCGATTTTTATATTGAGGCCATGAGGACCGATTGTCTTATCTGAAAGAGAATTATTCAAAAAAATTTATCTTCAGCCACTATCATAGCTAAAATGTTATCATAATTTTAATCGTGTAAATGATTAAAAAAGAATAAATTATTGATATGTAAGAACAAAAAAAATTCATTCATAGCTAAAAATGTAATCATTTTGGGACATCTTATTTATATGATCTTATAATTTATTTTGTTTTTTTTTAATAACGTACTATTTAACTGAGACAGCTGCAACGTGCACTTAAAATTCCAATAATCAGTTAGACATCTTAATTCTTTTTTCAGAGGAACATGTTCGACAGATTGAAATCCCACAATGAGGTGTACTTTTGTTAATTCAGTCTCATCGTCGACAATTGTTCTCGCAATAGGGTAAAGCGCTGCTATTCCGGATCCAATACCGAACATGATGATCTGTCGAAAACTATTGATACATGAAATCGTATGAGAACAAATTTCTTATCTGTACACGTTCTTTACGCACCTGTTGCTTTCGTATTTAAAATCTCCGTACGGGCCTCTGACATCAATTGAGCTACCAAGTGGTGCATTTTTTAGATGTATACTGAATTTACCCTGTTTATATACTTTTACCAAAAGAACTAAACCTCTTTTGGTCCATGTAATTGGCGTGTACGGCCGGGACATGCACCAGGAATGTAGCATAATGTATTGGCCAGGTATGAGGTACAAATTCAAACTGTTTTGCATTTTATATTCTGTATTGTATGCAAAAACAACTTAAGATATGTTGCCAATGACCATAACATATTTTGATAATAGATATTATTAGATTATATAATTAAATATATAATATCTTGATGTTCGTGAGAAAATTTTATATAGTTTATATAAATATTTGATACATATATAGCCACAATACCTTGATATTCTAAATGAACTAAAATGTAATCTTTCGAAGTTTCGGATATATCAGCAATAACAAATGCTTTATATGACAGAAGAGACAATAAATTACTACTTATTTTAATTTTTACATCTTGTGCCTTTCTATTTTCCCATTCGTTTAGTAGTCTTTTATGAACATCAAAAACACAAGGTATACAGCCATTGCCACAACAATCTTCCTCCAGTGGTGTTTTGGGTCTGTCATTGTCATCATTGTGATCGTCCAGATCCATTTGAAACAACTAAATTTTTACCGATTGGAACAATCTCTCTTTTACATAATTAAACACCTTTCAGTTTTAGTTATTTATGAATCCAACGTATTATATCTAAATGTTTATGTATCGTAATTGTGTCCAATGAATTTAAACATTTAGTATTAAATGTTTAAAAGTATGTAAACAGTTAAATATAAGATTAAAACAGATAAATAACGGAATTATATAGTAAAAAAGTAACCTATAAAGAATTTTAGATTTATTTTTAATCAATCTTGATACACAAATACTTAGCACGATGCGTCAGCGATTCTAAAATGTATAAATCAGAATTAGGGTACGATCCACTTAAAGCTGCAAACGCTTTGAAGTGTTTAAAGAAAGAATATTGGCATTTTCGATTTGCTGACCCGAATCGGAATCATCGTACTGCGTTCTGACTGGTACGTTTCTAACGTTGAATCTAAATGTATACACCAATTAGATTCACGAATTAGATTCACGAATTCTACACTGTTGCAAAGCTGCTTTCTCTGCTGAACGCAGTTATTGGTTATATATCATCTTGAAAAAATATCGTAAAATAATTATGTAGCCAATGAAACAGCTTATATATTTTTGTGTGCGGTAAGAGACATAAGATAGCCAATCAACCTTTCGTTCTTACGGAAAAGAAGCAAGTTGATTGGCAGAAGCTATTGGTGATTTAATGTACAGAGTTGTATAGTCACAGTTGTCGAGTTGGTCCACTTTTGATTCCAGCGACTCCGACCAATCCAGTCGCTGGAGTTGGAAGTGGACCGACTCGTACGATGATTTATGATTTAGTGCGAGGAATAGTGTTGTAGACCCAGCTTTATTATATCAAAATATCTAACTTTGTTTGACACAGCCGTGTGTACAGTTGCCGAATATCTACAGTCCAATGATAAGTTGTTTATGCGAGCTTTGAGCAACGATATAAAAAATATATATACATCATTGCGATCATAATAAGTGTGCTTCTTTTTCAACATAGAATTTGGTATTAAACGCAAGTATCGAGATTTGAACAATGGCACCTGAATATAATAGAACAAATAACTTCCAACTACATAACATTCCTCCTGTATCGACAAGGTAAAGTAACACTGTTATTTATGCATTAATATCCGTGCAACTTGACGCATTATTTAACATCGTTAACGTAACAAAATACTTTTGCTTTGTAACGACTTAGTAATAGTAGTTATTATACATGTAGTAGTTAATTTTTAATAACTATAATGATATTACATTTCTTAATAATGGTAACAAATCATTACTTTTATCCTTACTTTGTATACGTTGTACATTTCTATCGTTTTATAATTTTTATACGTGTGAGAAAAATTACAGTTGCTAGATATATACTTCATTTTAATATGGTTCAAACATTTTTCTTGATGCAGTTTGCAACCAACAGCCAAATAGTCCAATGAGAAAATTTCTGGAAATTAAATAAAAACAAGTTTTTTTATTATTATCATTTTTATTTAAATAATTGGCTGTGTTTCAAATTGTATTGAAAGAAACAGTTCCAATCAATATTCGTATAAATTACATGATGATACATATAACAGATATAAAAAATATATTAATAATATATGTTAACAACATAATACAATTTTTTTTTAATCTATATTACAGCATGCCATATCCATTTGTGTCCGCAACTAATCAGCCTCCACCGGTGCCACCACGTTTTCATACAGGAGGGTATAATACAGGATATAATATAGGAGGGTATAATACAGGATATAATACAGGATATAATAATTATAGACCACTTGGTGGCTTTAACTATTTAAATGGAGGATTTGGAGGTGGTTACAGAAATTATGGTGGAAATTATGGATATAATAACTATGGACATAATAACTATGGATATAATTCTGGGGATCCGTTTTATCATATGTCCATGCCTAATAATGTACCCTTTGGAAATGCAGTAAATAGGTACGTATTATTGATGCAAAACCATCACTTACATATATGTTTAATTTAATAATAATTTTAATGAGATATATTTAATTATATATATAAGGAGAGATATTATAAAAAGTTGTAAACACCTTAAAATTTTTACTTTTATTTGGAAAAGATATCCTTGAATGTATTCAAGATACTTGATCTAAAAGAACTTATTATATATTTTAGCTTTCAGCATTATGTTGAAGAAACTACAAGACCAGTTGTCAGTGTAGTAGATTCTGTATTAAGTACATTGTCGTCCATCACTGCGGTGGTAGAATCATCACATTTTGCTCTAATCAATTCGTTTCGGGCATATGAATCTTTAGCAAATAATACCGGTCGAATGCGCTCAACATTTGGACAAATATTAAAAACGTTCAGTTTAATCCGACTATTGAAATGGATTTATAGGAAATTTCTAGCTTTGTTTGGTAAGTTTGCCATACAGTGAAAAACATCGATTTGTATGATATGCAATTTTAATAATTACTGCTTTCTCATAGGTAGAGGAAAACAGGACAGGATAAATGAAATGTTGTGGAAAAACTCCATGTCACAAATGACAAATGAAGTTAAAGACCATACGTCGGTATTCGGGTGGCATATGAGCTTTCTGCTCACCACCATTTTCGCCATCATTCCATATTTAATTTTCAAGATCATGAGCAATGTTAGACGGTTTCAATTTCAACGTAAGAACTATATTTTTTTTGCAAGTAACGGTTGTTTTTACCTAGAGCCTCTTCTGTCACCAAAGTTCTACACATAACGAAATCTTATAATCATCAGAACATTTCATATATTATTTTGTGAAACATTTCTTCAGTCGTTTTAAATTTCTTTTCCTCGTAATAATTTTAGTTGCTGATCAATTTTGAGATATAATTTTCTATACTCTGTGTAAAACAACTGGTATAAATGTGAGAATACTTTATATATATTAGACAAATTTACAGCAAGTAATCCGTCAACTTGGTTGAAGAGTGAGCGTACTGTTCCAGTAGCAATAGCAAAGTACGATTTCATGCCAGTTTCTAATGAGGAATTGACTCTGAAGGTTGATCAGAAGATATGGTTGGCACCACAGCCTGTGCAAGACAAGAACCCGCCAGGTTGGGTCATGGCCACTGATGGTAAAACTGTCGGTTTAGTACCTAGGAACTATATAGAGATAACAGGGCAGTTAATGAAAGCAAACAAACTAAAAGAAGAAATTGACACTGAAATGACGGCATCTGACAATATTGCTTCTGAAGATGTGGCATCTGATCAAACCACTAGTTAACAATATTGAAAATGACATACTTTGTTCCGAATATACTGAGGATGATTTCGTTTCAGTAGATTAATTCTGCATCACGTTAATTTTAAAAGCATATGCCATGCTATATCTTTATATTATATATACGACTGAGATATTAAATAATACATATGTATAATAAACACACACACACACACATCTATGTGTGTGTGTGTGTATATATATATATATATATATATGTGTGTAAAAGACACATCTATAGGGGACGAACCGTTATTGGTATTACAACTAAGGAAATGATAATTCATGAAAGTATATATATATATATATATGTGTTATGCACACACACACACACACACACACACACACACACACACACACACACACGCACGCACGCACGCACGCACGCACGCACGCACGCACGCACGCGCGCGCGCGCGCGCGCGCGCACACACACCCACACACACACACACACACACATATATATATAACATATAGGAGATAAACTATTGTTGGTATTACAAATAGGAAGATGATGATTCATGAAAAAATAAGTAAAAAATGAATAAAATGCACAATATTTCGTTTGTAATAAAAATGATTTTGAAAAATGAAGCATGAAATCATCTTGTATTTTTTCTGATTATTACATCGGTAAATGCTTCTATAGAGGAATATATGTTTCATTGTATTTAATATAAAATTAAAAAATGTTTGTTTAAAAAGAATTTGCCAATTATTATAAAATGAAGATACTCTATTCAAGAATCTTCAGTTATTAGTAATATTATTGTCTTTGACTTTATTTTACGATGAATTCAAATATTATTAGTACTATCTATTGATACAAGATATTGAACCTTTGATCTGGTGTTCAGGATACACATTTTTTAATATTTATATCTTTACAAAATGCAATTGATATTTATTCCACGTAATTATGGCTGCTTTGAAAAATGATAAGAACAGAATATGTGAGGCTCAGAAACTCCTGATGGCCAAAATTTACTGTTTATCCTACTTAAATTAAGAATTAAATAAGCAATATACAATCGTATCTATACATGAAATCACATCAAATGTACAGTATAAAAATTTTTTTGTAATATTTTGCGGGAAATAAAAATTTCTATGTCTTAACTTACTATTATAATCGAAATTTAACAGAATAGTGTAGAGTACTCGCAAAGTGTTAGTTTTATATTTTATGTTGATATATTTTTTGTTCTTGAAACGAAAAGTAAACTGCTCATTTTTTATTGTCAATGTCCAATAAATATGTCAAAAATAGTTTACATAAAAATATCAAAAATAACACTAACATGTTATATAATTTAAGAAAGCTTATAAACAATTATACAATGCACTCTGTTGCGTAATAAGTAAACTATTGAAGATGAAAACTTCACACAAGATCCTGTCGTGTGCTGATCGAGAGCATATTTACATATGTATTTTATTGAGAATATCGGAATAAAATTTATACGGGAAAGTATAATAAATATTTTATACTGTTAAGCTGCTTATTAATTATTACTAACATCCAAAGTGAAGTGCGAAAATAATTTATACACGGTATAAAATATTACGAATATCAACGCGCTACATCGATATAAAACATATTTATGATTCTATTTCTTCAATTCATTGTCATCTTGTACATAGTGTTAGGTAGTTGTGACTGTGCACTTAATAGAGGATGATTATTTTCTTGCTGTATTGGAACAACGAGCAATAGAAAGCAGTGGAAATTAAGTAACTTTCTCTCACTCTGTCTTAAACCTTCAACTTTCGGCTTTACTTTGTTGTAGGTTAACCATCTACACATTCAAATCGAATAGCCAAAGCAGTCGGTGTTGTAACTGCCTAATCTCCAGGCTCTTCGAAAAAATATCTGAATGATAATCATTGCTTTTTACCAAGACTCGACGTTATTTAAAATTGCCTTAATCGACATCAACCAATAAAACTTGCAACTATTTACATAGAAAATTAACAATTTCTTACATAAGCGAACATTTATTCAAGCATGTCCTATGTTTGATGTTTGGAAGTTTAAAGTTGTCTGAAAAATTTCCAGTTAAAATGTGTCGAATCATATTATATAAGAATATACATGCGCACACGCACACACATTCTCTCTCTCTCTCTCTCTCTCTCTCTCTCTCTCTCTCGTGAAAAATAATATTCTCATTAAACATTTATTATTTTGCAAATTCCAAGAAGATTTATTTATAAGTTAAACTCGAGATATAAGGCATACGATGAATGATATAACGCAAATAACGTAATATTTAGCGAACAGCATCTGTATCATATCTATATGATGCAGGATTTTGATCGCAATTTTTACGAAACACGTGCTTTTTGGTAACCTTAGGAAATTAGAGACTTATGATTGGCTGATTGACGGTATAAACGACAGAGTGAATATGACAAAAAAAAATATATATATATATTTTGCCTCTTTTCTGTTTAAAATATATAATTCAGATTTCGAAATACTATCAACATTCGAAGTACACTTATAAAGTGACGGGACTGTCGTATCATTTTTTTGGGGTATTCATAATTCGTAACATTATTATACGCCTTTCCAACAGAGAAGTTGTTTATATCGTCGTTCTCCAATTTAAAAGTGATTCTAACTTAAATATTAATTAATTATAACGACGCAAGAAAGCGAGAAGATTCTATATGTTGTGTCTTCTCTCATAAATTATAATTTACGAATAAATCTTTGTAAACATACGCAATATAGATTTTATTTAAACGTCTTACGGCGCATGTAACGTAAAATTTACTAACTGACGAGTCTTACGATGTGTTTAACTGAAACGGTTTGGATTAGTCTGATGTTCAAGTAAATCTGATGTTTACGAGCTCACGTTATTTTCGATTTCACGGTTATATATACATCTTTATCGATATTCCGGATGAAAAACTGAAAATTAAATTTAGAATGGTGGCTTTTTTAAGTGCCTTAAATGATTACTATGTACAGACAAATAAAATATATTTCGAGTCAGACATTGATAGTGATTTGATTTCTTCTTTGTCGCTCTCTAAACGAATCAATTCTCCGGAGTTAGAACACCACATATTTATTTCCTAAGTTCCAAACCGTTATCTTCCGTCTTTTGATGGCAAGCGAGTTTGTTAATGCTCGCAACAATATAAGACACGTTTTCCTTTCCGAAGCATCACATATGTGCCGTAGTTTGCAATTCCTTAAAACTATTTACACTTTACTGCATGTGAAAAAGTCCATAATCGAGGATTTCACAAAAAATATATATATTTATATATATATATACATATATATACTTACACACACACATATATATATATATATATAATATATATGTATATACGGTAAAATCTTTGACACCGTCAGTGATGTAGTGATGTAGTGGTTCTCGACACAACCAGAACTACTAATCGATATGGATGTTTCGGTGAAACACATCACGCACTTTCTTTTCACTTAAGTTCGCTCATCTGCCGGGGGAAGTTTACATTCGTCGTGGCTGTCTTCTAGAAGGAATCTCGGTGTCCACGAACATGATACAATAATACACGACGAATGTACGACTAATATAACAGTGGGAGACTCGTGTGTAATTTGGACAGCGTATATGTGTAATTNTATATATATATATATTATATATATATGTATATAGTCCGTTTTGACTGTACAGTAACATACTATGAATAGCACGTGCGCCCACACGTAGCATTTATATGTTGCAACAAGGTCGAAGCTAATGTAATTTGTACGATGTATTGCTTTGCTTAAACTTGTCGCTGAGTTTTACTCCGCAAGAAGTTTAACAAAAAGTATTGAAAAATATTCGACGGAAGTACTCAATCAAGGATATCGATAATGCGCTCTATTTTTAAGAGAACATAAAGACACAACTTACAAAATATAAACTTGGTTTCGGTAAATGGAGTTCGTGAAATCCGTATATCTGACGCTTTTGTAGTGTCGTCCATAGAGGGGGAGAGAGGATGATGATAACGCAAATTGCGTTAATATATGATATTTATAACTATGATTATTTCTTGCCGTTGCTCCCCCGAATTGCCATTTCGGCCATATAACATTGTCGTACGATCAGTAGAATCATTCCCAGTACATCCTATATTAACCATGAAATGCAATTTCACATGAACACATGATCAGTGAAGTAGCTGCTACGCATAGCATCCTCCGAGCTTACTGTGGGCAACACGATATTCACATCATACCCTAGAATTACCATTCAGCGTCTCCGTTTGCCTTTTGAAACACGTAATCTTTCCCACTTAGATTCATTATACCGTCTTTAAGATAAAATTTCCATTTGTTTCTACTCCTTGTAATCTGAAAGAAGAATGACGTTGATTCGAAGCTTAATTATCTTTATATAATCGATCGAGATAACGCTCAAGCCCGACACTTTCACATAGTTATGGCCGTACCTTGTCATACTGACATACGACTACATTATCAGTGTCAAAGAGATCCGCAGGGTCGTCATCGGTAACATCATCTTCGGAATTTAGAGGTTCCTAGGTCAGAAGAATTTTACGTAAGCCACAATTCAAGCTGTCAAGCGTAAGATCTTTCTGAAAATACTAACTTCTTCGCGAGTTGCCGCCTCATCGTTCTCTTCTTCCTCTTTATCATCAAGGTCCTCATCGTCATCGTCATTATCCTCCTCTTCCTCTTCGTCATCATCGTCAGAAGAGTCACCCGCAGCTCCGTCTAATTGGGCTATATTATTCTGTTGCTGGCAAACAACCAAAGTACGACATATTATATTCCACGTGTAATGTGTATTTATTATGTTAATTCATCATTTAGATTAAATGTATCACCTGACTCTGCACCGTCCTCTGCGTGACGATATTATTTGTACTTTGTGTAACCACTTGAATAGGCTGACTCACTTGCAGTGGCGCTAACGTAGCTTGTCCCTGTAGCGTGGCATTTACATGTTGCTGCAACAGGGTCGAAGCTAAATTCGCTGGAAGACCCATAGCGGCGGAAATTACGGGACCTGTTAGAATCGTGTGCAGCTGGTTCTCTGGAAGAAATCAAAAAATGCGATTCTTCCTTATTCAGCCCAATAAATTGTAATAAAAATATTCTCTATATTACATTAAATATAGTGCTGAAGTTGATTTTCAAGCATGAAAAAATTATGTATACAGGGTGTCGATTCAAATCTGAAAAAAATTCCCTTATATTACGATCAAATCTTCACCTTCACCTTGAATAGCGGACGCAGGAACTTGTATAGTCAAAATCCGTTGCGGAGCGTCTGGAACGCCGGTTTGGGGCGGTAAGGTGATCTGAATGGGCACTTGTCGGTCAAGTACAGCGGCAGAAGCAGCCACCACTTGTTGCACCGGCGCTGGCGAGTGTTGCTGCAACGTTGTTGTTCCTGCTGTAGAATGCGTGTGTTGTTGTTGAGGTTGCGCAGGTCGTTGTTGCTGCTGTGCTTGCTGCTGTGCTTGCTGCGGTGCTTGCTGCTGCTGCTGCTGCTGTTGCTGCGGCTGCTGCTGTTGCGGTTTTGGTTGTGCTTGTGGTTGAGGTTGCGTCGATACTGTTTTTCCAGTTTGATTATAATGATTTCCTACAGAAGCTGTTGCAATGTATGATATGTATATATATAATGATGATTTATGACGCGATCCATTGTTATTATGTATCTCATTCAGAACAGTAGGAAGCGATTGAACACTTGGTGCATGACATTGTGCAGGTTGTAAGGTAATAATCATTATCACTTTGAATATTTTTAAAGCATAAGAATAAGAAAAAAATATATCTGCCAGAAATTGCATTGACCATCGATCACTTCAAACACTTCCATCTTTCCATCTAATCGTTAATAAAATATTTTATTTTTCAAGGATATTTAAGGTAACAGTTATCACCTTATGTATTTTGGTAAAATGAAAACCTAGATATTGGTGTTTTAGAGGAATGTTTTAACTTTATGCAATTTTGATTTACCTTTGTTGATACTTATAGCTTTGAGCGGGTTGAGTTGAGGAACTTGTGATTCTGGTGGATCTGGATTCATCTCCACAGCTTTACAAGATAGCAACTTTGTTTCCCATATCTGTTTAAGCTCCTGCAGAACCTGCTCATCGACACCCTCGTCTATGAAAGATTCTCTTACTCCGGATATTACATCTTCTATCACAGTATTGTATAATTTCAGCTGTAAACAGTCAATTAAGTTAGTTTTTTGATACTCGTGGAAAAATATTACGTGAACGTCAAATCATAAATACAAAAAATAATTATAAACAAAACATTAATTAACTTTTTACTATATTAGAATAACCGAAATATTATATCTAAACTCTAAAGTGTTCGGAAAATTTGACTCTGAAGAGAGTAAAAATATGGGAAAATTAAAATTTTTCCCTGTGCCTGCATAAACTTTTTCATACGAATGAGGAAAATAAATATTTCAAGATCATACGGATGGTATTTTAAGTTTACGACAATATATATTACGTTAACTCGATCGACTTATCATCGGCTGATAGTGAAAATTGTGATAAATATGTGGCGACTTAAAGAAGCCTTCTGGTGAAAACACTTTGAATCCGAGAGCGACACACGAATATCACATACACACATTGATACTTAGGAATTTAAACAACGAATGTTAATGTATAACGTCGCATACCATAATCCGCAGCTGAGAGGATCGAACATCCTTAGTCGGACAAGTCACGTTATTTACAAGGACACTGTCTTCTTCTTATTCCGTCTACGTGTGAGGTTAACAAGAAGTTGTCAATACGTGTCGAGTACGCGCTACCGACAGCCGGAGATCGAAAACTCAACTCGTGGAAAGTACACGAATTACGAATCGTGTCGGTGAGTATTGAGCATCGGGATGAAGAAAATTGCTCGTTCACGAAGGTAAAAACTCGGAGGCGGATTTCTCGTGCGGCACAAGCCCCGCCGTATTTATTCGAGCTCGATCGTTCATTACTCACCACTGTGCTGTGACTGAGAGACATCGTGGCACACAGGGCTGGAAAAACGTGCGTTCAAATGGAAGGAACGATATCGGAAACACGACGACGCGGACTGACGACCTCTTTTTTCCTTAAAAGATACGCCACAGCATCTCGACAATCGCGTTCGCTCGTATTCGCGAAACAGTAAACGTTCCACTCTACACTCTTCTGCGAATAACTACATCGACTTTATATCGCTTGCATCAACGACCCAACAACTCAACCATCGACGAAACACCACGAAAGACTGACGGCTTAGTATTTTTTTAAGTCCACGGTACTCGTTTTCTCGAGCTGCGTTCGGAAACACCACACTGAAAGTAGATAGCTTTTAATCGGCCAATCAAAACAAAAAGAACTAAAATCTCTTTATCATGATTGGATAATTAAATACCACTTTATCCTCAGTGTGTATTCCCGAACGCAGCCTAAGGGTGGAGTCCTATGGCGCGTTTTCCGCGTAACGCGTAACCAATCATATCTTTCTATTTTTTTAAATGCTTAAAACAGAAATGTCAAACGTTGCAATTTATTAGTTACATAGTTACGTGTTAAAGTATCTTTCCATACTGACGCTTTTCAGCGTCAAAACATTACATAATCGGAGATATCGCTGGATAACGGAAAACATGTAAAAAAACGTATAGCAGCATCAAATTTTGAACATTGCGGCATTAATCCCGCATAGTTTCTGTGAGAAATATGTTTTCGAGTAAATATTGCAACGTGGTCAAGAGGCTACAGAAAAAATAATAGAATAGACAGATAGAATAAGTAATGTAAAACATTAAAATATTCATATTGACGGTTCACATTACATGACGCACCAATGAGGTAACAAAAAAGATTTTTCAGCCCTGCGTAAATTTTCGTACAGTGATAGAAACCTTGAAGAATTCGCGGATAATTGAAGAAAGATTTGGCATTATCCAACCATTTTGTTATTATTTATTGATATGTTATCACAATTATTTGCTGAGTATCTTTCAAGACATAATGAAAGTATTAATTTTATTATTTACGATCCGCCCCTCCCCACCCCTCCTTGATATTTTTATCGATATATACATAGCCTACAATAAAATATATTAAATATTTTTGTGAAACTGCATTTTCGCAGTTATTTACGCTGATTTTTAACACAAATTTCAACAAATTTACCGGCTGGAAGTTATCTGACAGCAAAGTTTTCTTACATGCCAAATTGACGTTAGCGTCAAAGAGAAGTTGAATTATTTCAGCTTCGAGTGTAGGGCAAAATCACCAATGTTTACTCATTGAGGATTGATCATACGACGAGTTTGTCGGATAGAGCATTTCTAGAGTCCCTAATATTTCCTCTAGATGGAATACCATTCTCAACGAGCGAACATCAATGTTTTTCCCATCCCTAAATCAGATTATGGCCGGTATTCTGAGTCGGATCTAAGAATCTAGTTCTTCGATATTATTGACCATTTATATATATATCTGTGTGTATATTATTGTCAAAGGAATAATATGATTAAACTGTAAACTTCATAGTGATGTAAAAAAAAAAGCTTAGAGTCTAGATTTCATTCCACCAGACACCACTACGACTTCACCAGTAATATAAGAAGCATCATCGCTCGCTAAAAATGCAGCTGTACCTCCAATTTCGTCCGGTAGCCCAAGTCTTCCCATACTAATCGTTGATACAGCAATTTCGTGTGCTTCTTTCGACTCATGCAGCTGAAAATTCCAAAATATCATGTGTATATATATATAGGATATTATATAGGATATTAGGTAGAACGTTATCCTTCTTTAACAAAATGAGACGTGGTATGACTTAAAAATAATTATGGATAAATACCGCACGTGAAAAATTCGTTTTTATGATCCCTGGTGCGATGCAATTCACACGAATTCCGTCGCGCGCCAGTTCATCCGCAGTATTTTTACATAATCCAAGTAAAGCAGTTTTGCTGATTGCATATACACCTAGTAACTGAAAACAAGTAGAGCGAGTGAGAAGAAAGGGGAAAGAAGGGAAGAAAGACAGAGTTAGAAGATCTATATTCTGTCATAATGTGTTCTTTCAATAAACAAAAGAAAGATCTTTCAAAATAACTCACGCTGAAAGGCTGATATGCTGCGATTGAAGATATAATAATAATAGACGGTGATTTACTCTGCTTAAGCAGTAGCAGGGATTCCTTCATGAGCAGATACGTGCTTTTTACATTAATATCGAAAACTTTGTCCCATGCTTCTTCTGAGCATTCTAATACCGTTCCTACTGTTGGATTAACTGCTGCATTAGATACCAGAATATCCAAACCTCCAAAATCTGCTTTAGTCTGTAATTTTTCACCATTTTATCTATCCGTTACAATACGTTGATAAAATTGCACAGGGAGTAATATAAGCTTCTACTAGAAAATATATCATGCAAAGAATAGGAAACAACAGTGTGACAACAGCGTGAATTTTTGAAAAATAGAGCACAATTATTAAATTGGTGCATATGAAATGTCGGATTTTCTTTACATGTGAACGTTTGTCTCCCTGCTTTTGTTATGCTTTTGTTTTTGGCATAACTTCTTTTACAGTCGTACTGTTTATTGCCAGAGTCATATTTTAACAAAAAAGATTTTTTCAAAAGTGTGCTCTTTTGTTATCTGTTTTGAATTTTGTACGGATATGAATTCAACCGATATTCGTGTAAATTTTTTATATGAGTATAAACTTGGCAATAATGATGCAAAAGCTACACGCAATATAAACCAGGCGTTTGGGAAGAATACTGTTAATGAATGAAAAGTGCAGCGTTGGTTCGAAAAATTTCGGTCTAGTATTTTTTCCCTACAAAATGAACCGCATGGAAGACCCAAAACGTCTGTGAATAATGATGTTCTGAAAGCACTGGTGGAAACGAATCTAACTTTGAAAAAAGATATGCAGTTCTATATATTCACTTAAAAATCCGATATTTCATACGCGCCAACCTAATAGTATAATCAATATAGCAAACTTGTTATAACTTACTTTCTCAAATAATTTTCTCCTATCTTCTGATTTCCCTACATGGCAAACAGTACCTGCAACTTCTAATCCTTCAGATTGAAGTTTTTCTACCGCATTTTTTACATTCAATTCCTTGCGGCTGCTGATCATTACTTTAGCACCTTCCTGTGCTAAACGTTTCGCTATGGAGAAACCTATGCTGTGAAAATAAAAGATATAATTTAAATATAGCAATCACAGATTATTATATTAACTAATAATAAAAATAAGGAAAATGTTACATTAACTGATAAAAATTTACATCAATAACGTAGTTTGTTCGCTAATTACAGATGAAGTTTATTGGTTGAAATCGATAAAACAAAGATTGTACTAATTATATAGCTAATCAACGATGGTAATAATTGGAAATTACCCATTTGTCGATGCTGTCACGATCGCAACTTTTCCTTCTAGTCGATTGCATTTAATCAAGGAAGTTGTACTACCAAATTTGCGAACAATTTGATTCATTGTAGCATGCAGCATCAGAGCAACAGTGATGTGAAAGGTTTACAGATATAACCATTGTCGTAAGTAATGTTGAACTTTGATGCATACATGTATGCATATATGTATGATGCATGTTTACATTATATAATCATATGGTCTGTTCTTTATAGCTGCACTGCTGAACTGGTGCAATAAGATGAAGTGAGACAAGTATATGTTATCTCACTTCATCTTATCGCACCAGTTCAGCAGTGCAGCTAAAAAGAATAGACCAATAATGTTTTCATTCATGATACAGCATATTTTTAAACAAATTCGATAAACAAGCTATGTTTGGATGTTACACTATCAGCATTGCTGCGTCCATAAACGTATATATCTACGACCAAGTTGCATGTAGAGCGCCTCTAAAAGTGCAAATTCATTGGATACTGAGCATCGAGCGTAGTCAAATGACATCACATTATGTCTGTTCGTTTTCGCTGCACCACTGAACTAGTGCAATAAGTTGAAGCGAGACAAGTATATATTTTCTCACTTTAACTTATTGCAGTTCAGCGAAAACGAATAGACCTACTATGTCGATTATTAGCGCGAGTTCTGATTGGCTGCTGCTTTTCCGTCAAGTTGTGAATTCTCCCTAAGTCGACCAGTTAGCGTCCTGACATCGTTGTAAGCGCATTTAGCCCGTATCGGACTACGGATTCAAGATTGAAATTGAATTGAAATTCGACCAAAGTTCAATAAATTTTACTGAACTTGCGTTCAGTTAACTTTGCACTGATTGGACAAATTTAATTCAATCTCAATTCCCGATCTGTAGTCCGATACTGGCTTCAGGTCTCATTGGACCTCATCGGCTGCGTTCCGACGACGATACGCGATACATATTGTGTTCCCAGGCCTGAATCCTTGCGCATTGTATCGTTGCAATATGAATCCTTTATAAGGTGTGCATCTTGTCTCGGTATTACCTGTTATATGGTTGTATTTCTACGTTAGAATAATTTTGTGAGACAATTTCGTTCTGCGAGCTGTGCATCTGAAGAAGTAGAGTAACGTAGAGCCGTAAGTCTCAAAGAAGTTACGTTGTTAAGTACCTGTATCGTGCCCGTTGTCCGTATCGTCGTCGTCGCACCGAGGTATCGTCGGGAGGTAAACTGTCGAGACAGAGAGTTCTCTGGGTGAAGTCTCGTCGTACCTAACCTACAAAAGACACGCGCCACCGTACGCAGCGGCGGGACGTAACGCTGCCTCCGTGCTCGTCGTACGAGCTCTCGCGGTCCCACCGCGCCGGCAGCGTGTCGAAATTCGACTCACCGCGCGATCCCGCGCTGTTTAGCACGTGGCGGTGACGTGCCCTTTTCCTCCTTCACAGTGGTGAAGGACGATGATCCCTCGTTCGTGTCTTGCCTTTTGTTTATCCATCGTTCGGTGTGAGGTTATGTCGTCGATATGTCGCGGTTCATATGTGACTCGATTGTGACGCCGAGGGTAATCTCTCGCGAGATCAGCCGTTGAAACGTTCACTTCAATGAATATACGCTACCGTTGGTGAAAAATCGACACTGGACGTGCTGTGACCTGGTTTTCGTAACGTTGATACGTTTGAAGATAAAAAGAAGCACGTGCCAATAACAAACGTGACCGTGTACTTCTGTTTGCGCGAAAGTAGCGGATGAAATTATTGTTGGAAGTTTTTTTCGTCGAAATGGAATATCTCTTGAATGATCTCATCGAATTTTTTTACTTACTCTGTTGCGTTGGGGAAACTTTTTTCACATACTCAAATCACTCTTTGGTGAGATTCTGATCTTTGCACATTATCGACATTTACAGGTAAACAATGTCGAGCGCGGAATCACTCGCGGAAGTGACGGACGTTGTGCAAATCCTTCGGCAATGGGAGGAAGAACAGAATTCTTTAACCTACGATCCTATTCCTATCCTTCAAAGATTGGCGGAAATAATAGAGCTGGAAACGGAGAATTATCTGAAGATGGATCCGGATCCGTTCGATGAGAGACACCCATCACGTACTGATCCGGAATGTAACTTTGGCCATATATTGAAGGTTCTTTTTAGAAAAGATAACTTTATGACGAAGGTAATCACCCAGATAATATATCAATGTGGTTTAGGAGAAATCTATTATCTTTAAATATAACGCAGTTCTTGAACACTTGATGCGTTCCATCATTCATTCATGAGATAGATATTTTTATTATCCACTGTTACCTTGCAACTATATATGATGTTACTTATTCTTATCTACCTAATCTTTCCATGATACACCTTTACTTTTAGTTAATAAACGACTACTTAAGAGATACTTACTGGACTCGGGCGGGAGTAAACGGGAGGGATGTCAGGAAGCTGAACATCGCCGCCTGTCGCCTGATGCTGGACATACTTCCCGGACTGGAGACTTCAGCGGTATTTCAGCCGGACATGGAGGGCCTGATACACAGATTATTCTCCTGGGCGGAAAAGAGCGTCGAGCCACTGCAAAGTTACTCGACCGGTCTTCTGGCAGCTGCGATGGAAGTGCAGGACATCGCCACGGGTTTCAGGGAACAGAACGCCAAGATGGTGCCGCTGATGCTGCAACGGTTGCACAAGTTGCAGCAGAGAGCGCACGAGGATCGTCAGGTAGTGCCAAACGCCAGGCCGTTCGCTCACTTCGGTCAAGATCAACGGAACAGTAACGACTCCGACAACAAAGGCGTGCCCGGCAAGCGGAAGGTGCGAGACAAACGGCACGAGAACGGCATCGCGAAGAGCCCGGCGCAGGACTCGCTCTTCTCCGACGAGGACGACTCGACGCGCAATTTCGACGATATGCCAGTCTCCAAAAAGAAGAGGAGCAACTCCGACTGCGAGCAGACACCGGTGAAGAGTAACAACGACACCTCGTACCCCGAGATCATGTCCCCGCCCCTGTGCATACCGAAAACGCCAAACAACTCGGTCAGCTCGCAAGTGACGCCGTCCAAACAAAGTGGCGTGCAGCTGTCGTCGAGAAACGCGAACGTGCCTTGTGTTCGTAATCTGCAGAAGTCGTCCGGTCTGTCGCTCAACTCCAGCGCGCATTCGTCGTTGCTGGAGGGTAACTCGAATTCGTCCTGGGCCGAGATGGAGACGTACGTGATCGGTAACGTGCAGATGCACCCGCCGACGCTCGCGACACGGCAGATTCTGATACTGCGCTATCTCACGCCTATGGGCGAGTACCAGGAATTCCTCGGCCACGTGTTCGAGCAGAACGCGCTGGAGCTGATTCTGAATTACATTAATGTGCGCGAGACCAAAGACAGCAGGCTCGCCTTCGAGGCGCTCAAATATCTCGCGTCGTTGCTCTGCCACAAGAAGTTCTCAATAGAGTTCCTCAACGTTGGCGGCTTGCAACGGCTGTTGGAAGTGCCGAGGCCGAGCGTCGCGGCGACTGGTGTCTCCATATGCCTTTATTACCTGGCGTACTGCGAGGACGCCATGGAGCGTGTCTGCCTGCTGTCGAAAGCCGTCATATCAGAACTCGTGACCTACGCCTTGTGGTTGCTGGAACGCAGCCACGACTCCGGCCGATGTCACGCGACCATGTTCTTCGGTTTCTCCTTCCCGTTTAAAGTAATCCTGGAAGTGTTCGACGCACAGGACGGCTTGAGGAAACTGTTCAACGTGGTAAGAGATGGGTTGATCGATTTCACTGCTGCATCGATGAGACTAAAATCAATATTATCGAGAGTACACACGATATTCTCGAATTGGCTTTCGAGTTTTGAAACAATTTTGGATCATTCTTCACCTATAAAATATTAAGAATAGAAATTACAAATAGCGCGCTAATATATGAAAAAATATGTATAAAAAGTGTCAACTTTAGTTGCAAATATTATGGTTCTCGAATGGTCAAATTTTTTTTTTATTGCATAAGCGGTTAGATGATATTTCAATATATACGTAGTGCAAATTTTTCATCGAATTCTTATCAAATTAATTTTATTATACAACTTTCTTAAATATACACAATGTTATATCTTTATATCGAAAAATGAGCACGTTGAATTTTATCGTGAAGAAAATAACCCGAGATGCATTGTATTTCGCTATAGATATCTACATTGTCTATTCTGAATATCGAAGAGGAGCCGACTATAAACGATGACGAAGAGTGTGCGTCGAGGCAAATCGTAAGGCATGTAGCTGTCGCTTTAAAAAGATACATGGAAGCACATCTGCATCTAAAAGCTGAGCAACTACAAAGAGCGGAAAATGTTAGAATCGACCGTGATACGTGGCAGCCGTCTTTACCACCTTACAAGGTAAAACATCTGGCGATTTATTGTACAGTTAGGCGTTTACGCATAAAATATAATAGTCTACATTTAGACAATTAAATTATGTGTAATACAGTAAAAAATGTGTTGAAAACGGTCCACTGAAATTTTTGTTATACTTTAACATAGAGAATCTGTTAAATAATGTAATTTATAATATTTCCATAATTTACATTATGCTTACATGAACAAAGTTCGTATAAACATCACGTAGACAATATGTAAATTATCCATATAGACATCTTAAAATCTACAGCCCTGATTTATCATATCTCTGATTACATTATGTTGGTCACAGTCGGTTTAGCCATCCAGACAATTATAAAACAGCAATAATTCTCAATTTATATCTTATTGAATGACTAATTTTTACATATTTATGTGTGTATACATGTGTATTCTGAAGATGCGTGCATTATTTCAGGCATGTAAGCTCAGCAGTGAGGAAGTTCAGGCGAAGGTAGAAGTACTTCAAGAATTGATGTCGATCAGAGCGGTGTGGCCACCGGTTGAGGAACTCCATCGTTTGGGCGGTATCACATTGCTCCTGCAAATCATCGCATTTGCTCGCGAGTGGAACTACAGTGGACGGTAAGTGCGATTTATCGCGTGATCGACGTGATAGCTCTCGTCAAACTTCCCAATCGTACATCTCTTGGCGCTCCAATTTAACAAAAAGCCAAGTGGTACGCTGGGTACCTTTAAATTATGAACGAATGATCTCTCTGTCTTTTTCTCTTAGGGTACACATTCAGCATACTTCCAGTGCGGAGACAGTAAGATCGTGCCTGGATGTGATTGCAATTTGTTCCGTTGTTCCGAAAGTCATGCTGCTGTTATGTGAAAGAGTCGATATGCCTGATATGTCGATGACAATGGCGATCAATCTCTTGTTAGCTGCAGCCGAATGCGAAATCGTGGCGGACGCCGATGTACAGAGAGCGGCGCTCAGAGCTCTGATCAATTGCGTATGCGCTCCTATAAACAGAGTATGCTGTGTATTAATTGGCCGAATTAGTCGTCGTATTGGTATAATTTCTAAAGATGTCGTTTGATAATGTTTCAGGTCGGTGGAAATGTAGCTAGATACTCCGTATCGGGATCCACTAAAAAGAAGACGAACATTCACAATAGCGAAGAATTGATACAGAAAATCTGGGAAAGCGTCAGGTCGAATAATGGAATAATGGTATGTATAATTGCGGTTTAGATCAGTGCTCGGAATTATTTTCGAAGCGACTTTCGAGGGCTACGCCTGCTTTCTTCCCTTTGTCTTTCGTCCTTTGAACTATGTGACTTATAGTTGTTGCGTTTAGTCGCGCTTAAGTTAATGGAAGAGGCAAAGGGAAGAAAGACGTTTCGAAAGTCACTTCTCGAAAGTGCAAATAATATTTCGAATACTGGTTCAGATAATCGTTAGGACGATCCGTACAGAGTGATTTTTTTTCCACAGGTATTACTACAGTTGATGATGGTGAAAACACCCATCACGGACGCCGATAGCATACGGGCATTAGCGTGCCGTGCATTAGCTGGACTAGCACGTAGTGAGAAGATTAAGCAGATTATCAGTAAGTTACCAATGTTCACGGACGGGCAGATACAGTCCCTCATGAAAGATCCCATCCTGCAAGAGAAACGGCAGGAACACGTTACTTTCCAAAAGTACGCTTTGGAATTGATAGAAAGGGTATCTGGTAAAGCGAAGCCAACAGGTGCCGAGTACGAGATGTCTCTAGTTAGTTTACACAGGGTAAGCAGCTTCCGATCTGTCGTTACTACACTTATAATTCATTATCTTCTTTCACTTCTAAGTTCCTTGATAAATTTACAGTTGTGTTTAACCTCGAAAAAAAAGATTGAATTGTGTTACATAATCACATGTATCTTCCCTCTTTGTAAGTTTTAAGTATTTTTTCTTAAAGGCGAATGTTGTGGCGCAAACTAGGATACAATATAACGAACAACAACTCAATCAATTGATTTATCAGCATCTCATGTCGAAGGGTTTAACTGAAACGGCTAATATACTACACAGAGAAGCAAACTTAGATTCTTCTGCAATCATGAAATCTATAGCGACATATCAACCGTTTACATACCGAAATCCCGTGAACGTAACTGTAAGTTGACATATCGAAAAAAGATCTGCTTTTGTAGTGTTTTACAACCCTTAGTTATAAAATTGTTATATATGTTACAAAATGCATATATATTTATACATTTATAAACCCTGTACAATACAGATGTCCCTTAGATAAAGTGTTATTTGAGACATTTTTAATCCTTTCTGTACATAGATGACTCAATTAATAACGTCCAAAATTTTGCTTGTTTTTGTTTTAGCCAAGGAACAGTTTTTCTCCTGGTGCTCCTGTGAATTTATACAATACCAGTAGATGTGCGTCGAGAGAAACCGCTTGTAGAAACAATGTCACCCCAACATCGTCATCTCGATTTATATCCCACACGACTTCATGTTCTAGTTCACCAACTGTCAACAATAACATTCGATTGAAATTTACGGACTGCCTTAATCAAAACGTCATTTCGAATAACGTAAATCAACCGATTAAGTTACAAATTAGTCAGAGGTGAGAATCGCATATATCTCCGACATATTCCTTTCTTCGTCTCTCGCCTTTTTTTTTTAAGGTACGCGCCGTTTTCCGTTGCAGGAAATCAACATCATCCGACAAAGCACCTCTAGTCACTTCGACTGGTTGCCAGTCTGTAGTACAGCTGCAACCTACTAGCTGTAGATCTTTACAGAAACAAATTTCCAGAGATCCTGGAGGCGGTGGAGGGCCTGGTGTAGTCACCTCCAATGTATCTGTCACACTAGATTCTATTATTACAGAATATCTAACCAATCAACACGCTCTCTGTAAAAACCCCATGGTGACGTGCGCACAGTTCAACCTTTTTGAGTAAATATTAATGTTTTTAAAGGGCATATTTTAGGGAATACTATCTTACCTTCTAAGATACGGTAGCTATTTCCAATGAGACGATTTGCCGCGATTCTACTCCAATTATTTTATTCACAGGCCACACAAGTGTCCAGACCCGTGTATAAAAAATTCCTTACCTACAAACGTGACGGTGAGATTAGCGAGACAACCGTTAGGGATGGATAGCAGGAAGTTAGATAGAAGATACATTTACAGTCGCTTCTGTCCTGTAAAAACCTTCCGGCCTACTGACGTGGGAGGAATCTTTACTTGTTGCGCTTTCTCGGTAAATTTGGATTTACTATTTCATAATTGATCCCGCGCATTCTGCGTCTCTCTCTCTCTCTCTCTCTCTCTCTCTCTCACTCACTCACTCACTCACTCACTCACTCACTCACTCATTCAATCACTCACTCAAAATATACTTTCCTATGTAGCCATGCACACAATACCTCATTCTGGGCACTCATGCTGGAGACATCAAGATGTTCAATACCCATACGGGGATGGAAGAAGCGACCTATCAATGCCATGAGTCGTATGTGTATCATATGGAATGTAATCAGCGTGGTAATCTTTTACTGACCTCAACCGCTTGGCGAACTCCCATGTCGGCGCTCTGGGATATGGGTTCATTCTTTGAGATGAAACTACCCCTGGACAACGAAGACTATGTCGAATTCGGGAAGTTGCAGGACAGAATAATTGGCACACAAGGAGAGAGTGCGACGGTAAATTGCATGCTTAAGTATCGCCGATGCTCGATCGCGTTAACAGCATTGTATAATTAAAATGTCATATTTCTGCCTTACTTTGCAATTTGCGTATAATCTGAAGAGGTTTGAATATTTTCATATTATCTATGTGTCTCATATGTATCCTTACGCACTTGTCTTTCAGATATACGATATAGGAACAGGGAAATTACTAACAACCTTGACACCGTCAATTTCGAATCAATACACGAAAAATCGCGCGACATTCAGTATGAACGACGAGCTGGTGCTCAGCGACGGTATATTATGGGATGTTAATTCGGGCAAGGAGATACATAAATTTGATAAATTGAATCAAGCGTTGAACGGGGTCTTTCATCCGAATGGGATCGAAGTTGTGTCCAACACCGAAGTGTGGGACCTGAGAACGTTTCATCTACTCAAGACGGTTCCCACTTTGGACGAAATGGAGATCATTTTCTCGCCTGTCAACAATATTATATATGCGATGTCGTTAGACCAGGAGACTGATGAGACTCATTTTGCAACTTCCTTCAAGACCTTGGATGCTTTCGATTACAGTAATATCGGTAAGTACTTCTGTCGCCGCGATTCAAAGCAGAATGCAAACGTTTTAGTCGCTATTCGCATTTACTTCGTAATTAACCACTTGATATTTTAACTATTCTAAGTAATTATACTACTTAATATTTTAACATTTAATATTTTAGCAACTTACGATGTGAAAAGAGGGATTTATGGTCTCGCATGCAATAAGTACGATACGCAGATCGCTATAGTGGAAAATGCGGGTGAATTCTCGAGTATACAGGAATCATGCGTTAGATTGTACGACGTTGGGAGACGTAGGGACGACGAAGATGAAGCGGACGAGGACGATGAGGAGGAAGATCTTGACGCCAGTGATGATGACGGTTCGAACTCGGGGTCTGATGATAATAATGCAGACGGTAAAAAAAACATTAATGTTGTTGCATTATTCGCCGTAAAATTTGCATCTCGGCATTGAGAGGAAAACAGAGAAAATTTTAAAGTTTTAAATTAAATTAACAAACAATCGAACGCGCTGATAAAAGATTTGCTAACTTTTTCAATATATAACAGTATTAGTAGTAGTACATTAACTCTTTGACTGGCAAACTGAATTTCGCAAAAGTGCTTAAGCTGGCAAAAAGTGGATTTTCAATTAATATATTGTATTATATAATATTAATATATAGTATTATTGTATTATATTATATATATATTTACAATATTCCAGACAGTATAAGCTTAAAGACGTTTCATGACCCGATTTTAGATATTGTGCTGTCTGAGATATGGATAACACATTTCGTTTTAGTTATATATATTGGTCTAAGGACTCGCCATTTCGAATTTTTATTTTTAAAATTCACCATTGAAAAGAACGACTTCGAAAACCTCAAAACGTTTCAAAGTTTTTGTAAAATATTTATATTTTTTCAATTTTAGGTCGGACATATTACATCCACCGTCTTGAACTTTGAATTTTGAAGTTCACCATTGAATAGAGTGACCTCAAAAACCTTTGAATACTCAATTTTAGAAATATTGAACTGCTAAAAATATCAAAACGCAGTTTCCGCCAGTTTGGGCTACTTTTTGTGAACGCAGTATTGCGTTTTCGCCAGTCAAGGGGTTAAGTACTAATGAAGCATAGTACTAGATACTAACGAAGCATCAGTATAAAAGAGATCGTTAAATTTATGTTAATTTTCATCGCTGCATTAAATACGCGATTGATGCACATAAATATATACACATATCTACATGAAACATTCAGATAATAATGAGTGGAAAAATTAATACTGACAAGGAACATTCAGCAACAATTATGAATATCTACATCCTTATCTACTGTAGGGAATGACTAAGAAAAAGAAAAAAAGAAACCTAAACTCGTTAAGTAACGAGTACGTAAGATTGGTATAGATAACATGCATATAAAGATGTTTCCAAATTATTTCTCAAACATACGTTCTTGAGATATATCTTCATTATATATGATTAAATTTTTGACATAAAATATACTTTAGTTTCGTTGCAAATTAAATCCCTAAAGAATGTGAATGGAGGTGGAAATATTTTGAGAAATATAGCATTACAGAGAAATCCAAATATGTCGTCATAAAGTGTTTTCGAAACCATGAAACTTTCGTCTATAATACTTCTTCATATCTTTAATAGTTTCAATGATGTTTATCGATAAATGTAAAAACCGATTTTTCCAAAGGCTATTTCCATCTTTGAAAACGTTTTTGGGCCACCAACGAAAATTTGTTTCGTTCTTAGATCTATCTCTATAATTCTACAAAATTTCAGATTTTTTTTTAATTTACATGTTGCCGAATATCTCTTGTAAGGTAATTATACTAAATATACTGGCGACAGCATAGACTACCGTAAGAATGTCTTTTTTTGTCATTACAGTCTTTCGATATGTTTATTTTGTATTGTTCTGTTAAAGCAGACGGTGATAATGCAGATGCTGGCGCGGAGGATAACGGCGATGATAACGAGCAGAACGATCGGGAGAATAACGATGACGACGACGATGACGATGAGGATGGTGGCGATGGTGACGATTCCGGCGACGATAGTGTGGATTACGATCCGAACGTTGATCTTAACGATCTTTCAGATGAATTCTCCATGTCGGACATGGAGGATCTGGAACTATTGTTCTCGTGAACGTCATTGATAATCCTGTGCATATAAACATATACATATATACATATATATATATGTGTATAAATATATATAAATATGAAAAGGTATATATTTATTTATATTTATATATATATATTAAAATATAAAATCTAAAAAAGAGCAATTTCATTGCGGTGCATTATTAACGCTTTGAGTGCCATGTTGGATTTGAATGTACGATCTCAGCAGACACGAATTTTTAATTACTTAAAACATTACTGTCAACGACTCGAGAATGCGCCTGATTAGAAGAGATAGTAAAAATCGTTCCTAATCGGGTAAGCAAAATCGTCAACCGCAAACGCAATGGCGACAATGCCCTTGCGGGGACTCACGCGTCATTCAAATATGGGTGACATGGCACTCAATGTGCTAATGATGCATACTATCTAAATGTATAAATAATTTCCAGCTGATCCCAGCCGTTTTAATTTGAGCGTCTCTGTTCGCGTCACGGGTCAGTACTTCTCAAATCACAAATGATCAATTGTAAATGATTATTACTAATCTTTCCTGCTTAATCATTGAATAAAAAACATGTTATATATATATATATATATATATATATATATATATATATATACTTTTCACTCGACAAGTATCAATCCGTGACGGCCTTGTGCTGATAATCAGTCGTTCCCAAGAATGCGGATGTGCGTATTCGCGCATCGTAAGCAGCATAACCGGACATTGTCTTTATAGTTTGCGAGAAAAAAGGCAAAAGACGAAATAAAACACTCTATATCTGTAAATATGTTTGAACGTCCAGTTCAAATGTATTTTGGAAAAGAGCATTTTTTTAACGGGTAAATTCCAAAAAACTGTGTGTGTATTGTGTGTGTGTGTGTGTGTGTGCATATATATATATATATATATATATATATATTCTCTTAGAGAGAGAGAGAGAGAGAGAGAGAGAGAGAGAGAGAGAGAGAGTAATCTCATACTTGGAATTTATATTTTATTTTATATAAATGAAAACTTCTTTTTCTTTCTTTCTCTCCCTCTCTTTCTCCCTTTTCCCTAATATGAGGTCATCATTGAGACACATTTATTAATTATGGCAATCACGTTTTCACTCTAGATACGCGTTTATGTCTGACATGGTGCTACCTCCATTCAACATTTATGCAGTTCAACAAATTTCCACGGGGAAGAAGGCGGTTGAAATATTTCAAACAACGAGCCCTTGTGGCTTGTTTCCATGTTCATTTTTTACCGTTAACATTGTGACGTCTCGTATCTTATAATTTTATCGAGTTTCTTTGTAAATGTCGTGGAAGAAATAACAAAGTAAAATACCGAGATTAATGTGATTTACGTTTGTACATGTTGTCATTGGGTCTAAGAAGATACGTGCGTATGTAAGAATTTGATTAAAAAATGATAGGCTTATAAATAATTTATGTAAATTATTATAAACACGTATTTAACACATGCTAAGTTTTATGATCTCAACGCATTTCTGCAAAATGTTGTGTGAGACATTTAAATGTGACAGAGTAATTCAATACCGTTAACATTTAGAAATACTTGTGTTTGCAATAAAATAATACATTTGGGAATTTATTACATCTCATAACTTTTACAGAATTAAAAGGAAATATTCTACAACGCGTTTACGTTTCGATGGATTAAAGAAAGATTCAGCAGAGAAGTTAAGTTTTATTTATCTAAATGAGGTGAAAATATATGTAAAGGCGACCGAAAATTTTATAGACATATTTTATTTTAATTAAACGCAAATGTGATTATGAATATATAATTAATGTATAAAATAGAGGATATTTGTAAAAAGCTCATTAAATTGTGTAACTTGTTATTAATAAAATAACAGGAATTTGTATAAGTTTTCACTTAAATACTTTTCAATGGCAATTGCTGTGTGTATACGTGCGTATGCCACCCTGCTTTATTCATTGTTAAAAATAATTGCGGTAGATTAGATAAATCTTGTGTTATGAGTTAAATCGAACTTTGTTAGATATCTCTTATATCGCAATAATTACATACTCACGTAACTTGTATTTCAAATTCATATACAGGATGAGTCACCTAACATTAGAAACCTAACCTGTAAGGTCAACTTATAAGCATAAACAATATTTTTTTATTCTGCTCTATAAAGAAAAGTTGAACGCGTTCAAATCAGGTGGACATGCTGACCATTGAACAATCCCACCTCGTCCAATCCAGTGTAAGTATGAACCTAAATTGTTTGTAAAAGAGCATGTGAAAATATTACCCGCGACGGTCCACCATGTCAGCGGTCATAAAATCAAATTGTAAGCAAAACATGCATATCGCCTCTGTACATTACAATTTTATAATAGCACCGCAGAGAGAAAGGGTCACCTGAAGGTCAACATATCATATATGTCATACATAATTGAATTTGTCAGCTATAATACTGCGATGATAAAAATATGTAATGTTGTCCCATTTAAGCTTGAAAGATCATCTTAAGGCTCACTTTGAACTATGTTATACTAAACAAAGAAATGTTCAAACGGTCCACTGACAGCAGAATAAACTAAGCTGATTACGTTGCGCAGTTCACCCTGTATGATCGGCGTAATAATAGTAATAATAATAATAAAATATCCGTGCGTAAGAACACGAAGAAAACACAGCTGGATCTGTTAATCGCCAGGAATGCTTTTATTGATACAAACATATGGCTGTGTATTAAACTTGTCTATTGCACGAATCGGTCTGTCCGCCGATTGTAAAGGTAACGCGGACAGACGGCAACCAACGACACCAAGCTTACATTGTCGTCGCGTAGTGCTTGATATTGCACGTGAGACATTTCACACTCGACAAAGACACGGGCGCGTTACGACACTCGCATCACGTATCAAAACTGTGCACGTGTATCACGCGGCGGCCCGAGCGTGCCGCAACATCACAACATATATCATCACACGCGAGTGCTTCGTTTAAGCGCTTCGAAATTGTGTTTCTCCGGCGCGTCCGTGATTACATACATACGCGATATGACGAGTCGGCAGCTCCGCGTCGTACGGTCTGATACGCTCGAGAGAGACGATGTGTCTCACAAAGCCACCCTCCGCCGCGATTAAATAGCCTTGAGAGCATGTCGCAATTTGTTTTCTCATATCGTGCTAACGCGTGAATGCTAAGACGCGCGTTTCGGAAAAAAAATCACCGTTTTTTTTTTTTATAGCTTTATATAATTCTTCTAATAGAACGCTCCTTTTACTGCCTCCTTCCTTTCTTATGCCCTTTGGAATCAGTCGTGGCTGCCTTCCGCGAACCAGCCGGACCTCAGACAAGATTTCACTCTCGCCCTGCTGCCCGCCGAGTACGGAGCATCTTGCAATTATCAGCTGGGCGGTATCGCCTTGGCGGTTTGTCCGAATCCTAAATTAGGCCTCGTGCCGAACCATGACATCTTCCACTCCAGAGTTTCCTGCAGCAGTCGTTCCTCCTCCGGCGAGAAGTGCAACAACGTCGCCACTGCCCTCGTCAAATGGAGCGCCTTTAAGAAGAGGGAAAGAAGATGATACACGATACGCCGTATAATTGCGCGCGCTGAAAATACAGACGTTAAGTTCGAGTCTGCGATAGGTGTAACAACCTTTTTGCTCTAAGCGATAAAATGTAACGCAACTTCTGACAGGAGGCATTTTTCGTGCCGCCGAAAGTTGCAATAATGCTTAAATTTGAGGGATTGCGACGTCTGATTGCGCTGGAAACACTTTTCGCTAGAAATTACTTTACAGTTTAATGCTTAGTTAAAAACTAAAGATTAAAGGCAAACAACTAAAACTGAAAGCTTATTACTAGCTAGATTACATCTATTGTAGATCCAACTAATCGGATGTGAGAGAGGTGGGGGAGAAGAAGAAAGGGATGGGGAGAGAGATAGAGAGAGAGATGATAGAGAGAGAGAGAGAGAGAGAACACACACCTCATACTCTCTACTAGTGAGGAACTTGATGAGAACATGCTTAAGGTATTTAAAATTAACGTCATCTTCTCTGGAATTATTATGTCTGGCAGTGACGGTTTTGGATGAACTCGGATTGAGAATCGCCGCGGAAGCTTCGACGTCGCTGTCCAACGACGAGGTTGGAATCCTCAGTTCGCGTTGGAGCGTCTTTTTCATGTCGGCTAATCGTTGTTGCAGAACTTTGATTGTCTGAAGGCAAACGAAGGGAGTCACGACGGAGATTCTCGATATACAACTGCTTCAGATAGTAAATTTAACAGATAAAAACATTGCTCCAGCGATTATCGATTAGGTTTTTGTACGGTTATTGAAAATTAGCCCGGTAGCCAAAGTGTTAACCCACTTACAGTCCCTGCGCGCGACCGCTCACCTTATTCTTTTCATTCAGCTGCTCTTCCAGGTCTAGCAAACTGCTCTTGAGTATCCTCTCGTTACTCTCCAGCTTCTCCTTGCTGCGTTCCACCTCCTCTAGCTCGGCCACTCTTCGCTCAAGCTCCTTCAACGCAACCGCCGCTTGTTCTGCCTCCTTCGTCTTACCGGTCAGGTCCTCTTCGAGATGCTCCACTCTACTCTGCAGCTCCGTATTTTCAATCTCCTGCTGCCGATTTTCCTGCTTCACGATCTCTATGTCCTGCGACACCTGGGCATTTCTCAGCAACGCGGTGTCCTTCTCGCCTCTCTCCTTCTCGAGGAAGACGCGCAGCTCCGACGTCGTCGTCCTTTCGGATTCAAGAGTCTCCCGCAAACCAGCCAATTCCACGCGCAAGGAGGCATTGCTCGACCGTTCCTCCTCTAAGGACGACTGAAGACTCGACAGCTCGTTGGTGGCCGCGGTGAGTTTGCTCGTCGTGTCCCCGAGATCCGTCTTCAACTGGCCGATCTGCTTCGAAGAGGATTCCTGAAGAAACGCAAATTCGTTTGAATCGTACACAGTTTTACTCCTGTCTATGTTCACGATCATTTCTCGTGTGGTTGTGTGTATCTGTCATTATTGTACAATATACTCCGACGATTGTGGTAAAACAAATATCTCGCGCGTAATAAGAACGTCTAGCAATCTAGTTGTGTACTTTCCTCTTAATAAAGCTTCCTTCTGATTAAGTAGAGAAATTTGAAACGGTATATTCCTCCGCTTTCGAAGAATTCCGCTTATGAAATTCTTGTTGAATCTCGCTCCGCGTCTTATAACACTATCCGACAAAATTTGACCTTGCTTTTTAACGTTATTTTTCTCAAAATTCTAACATGATTGACCAAATTTGGTTACGCAACGGATTCGTGTTTAGTAGACAAAAATATATCGGAAATGACTATTCCACATTCATGTTGGAAAGTGGTGTTGCACAGTGTTATTCAAATTGCATAAGCGGACCATTATCGCTTTTTTTATAACTATCTATAACCGTAAGATATCTGTAACTTCTTCCATAAAGCAGCCAGCACCATAGGCGAGTTTTATAGATTTTTTATCGCTGAAAACGAATCCGCAAATAAAATTGCTCTATAAACGTCACGTTTTTGAGCTATTTTAGCTCGAAAGTACCTCAAAAAATGCCATTTTCTGCATTTGCAAGTCGAATTTTCCCAAAAATGCGACGCGACAGAGCAGTTTCATTCGCGGATTTGTTTTCAGCGACGAAAAACTTAATGAGAATCACCTTGTCTGGTTCGTAGTCTGAAATCCGTGTGTCGGACAGTGTAATTACTGCCACGATATTTGATAAATTGTGAGGCAAATTTGAAAATGGTCTACATCCAACTAACGGGTACAACGCATTCTCTTTGGCAGTTCTTGCACTATGCAATATGGACCTACGTAACTGACGTGTATCGATAATGTGGCGGAAAATAATAGGGCTGTCAGCTCACAGAGGATTACGGTGTACACCTGTAGAAGGGTTTCGATTTCATCTTGAAATCGAATCCGTCTCTCACCGTGAGCGACGATGACGCGAGACACGATTTCGAAATGAAATCCCCCTCCGGGCTTCCTTTCTACGACGGAACTGCGGTAAGGGGTATCGACAAATCTCGCTCGGGAACAAAAAGTGATGGTAAAGAAGCGAAAAAACGGGTGAAACGCAAGAAAGACTGTATATTTGGTTCCTTTCTTTATTCCACAAATAAAATGTACATAAGGTGCGATCGTACATAAAAATATAATATATATCCGTATATATCTGTATATATGTATTATATCAGCGTACAGCATGTCTAATGTCCATGTACAAAGGTGATGTACAAAGGAGAGCAATGCTATTCTCGGTGAATCTGAACAGAACTGCGAAACTGAACGACTTACGCATTCCTCCGACGGGGTTCTTTCCGAGAAACGCGGCGCGGGTAACTTTTTTTATTTATTTTTTTTCCTCAGCATGCTTAGAGTAAGAATAATAACGACAAGATCGTCAGAAAGCGAAAATCAAAAAGGCTCGCAATAAGATGCACGTGCAAAGTACAGACTAAGTAGGGGATATAAAGATGTGCGCCAAGCAAAAGAAGAAGCGTCAAGCTTCCGAACAGCATGCGACGATATGTAGTTTCTTAAATGTAATACTGAGACCAGACGATATGTTTATACTGCTCTTTACGCGACTAGTACGCGATGGCACAGACAAGATACTATGGGTGCTATCCGAGGGTGCGACTGATGATTGTCTAACAACAACTACTACGTCGACCGCAAATTCTATAAGACTTTCGCTTTCACTTTACTTCGGACGGTATGCGACATCGAGGACGACTCAATGAGTTGTGAGGACGATTCAATGAAACTAGCTGTCGTTTTTTCATTACGATTTCACATATAATAATAATACAATTATACTATATATGACATATTATATAATATACAGGATGTGTATATGTGTGTGGCCCAGAATCACCGTATGTTTTTAATATTACAAATCCTTTGGGATATTCTAAGATGGAAGTTCTAGTATGAAAACAATGAGGCTACAGTAAATTATAACTGATTAAAGTTAAGTAATCATTCGGTTGACATTTTCCGCGCTCAGGTATGGCAATATAGAGGTTAATGAGGGTGCTATCATGATGAAAACTAATTTTTTGAAAATTTTTGTCCAAACATGCAGATAGATTTTCTTGCACTTACGATCTGGAAATCTTACGTATTCTCGCGCAGCAGGATATGAATTTTGTGTGTGGCCATATTCGCTGTTAGATTATTATGATAATTTACCGTCCTGTCTTATCATAAACTTGTTATCATATGAATCAAGTAACAGTGATTTGAGAGCTGACTCATGTAATATCTAAATTCTATTTCGTATTCAATATTGAATTTGCGTAAAATGCGCGTAGAAATGCGCAACGTCTAAACAAAACAAGTTTCTTTCTGAAAATTATATTGCATATTTGTACAGAAATTTTCAGAAGAAACAATCCGTTTCGTCCGTAATAGCAGCATTGTTACAGACTATATCAGCTCAGAAAACATTCATCGTACGATTAGTCAACTTTAATTTTTTCTAAATTATTGCAACCTCACTTGTTGTCGTACTTAAACTTTCGTCTTAGAATCCGCCTCAATCTGTCATGTTAAGGCCATACAATAATTCTGGGATACCCTGTATAGTACACAACAATACAATATATAATACAATTAGACTCTACAGGCTCGCTCAATATACACGATGCAAAATCTTTGTTTGTTCAATGTGATCCGACTTTTCGTTCCGCTATATCAAGGCTCGCTTGCTGAATTTAACACGACTCGTCCCGTTGAAGATTCTACCGAGCACGCCTGAAAACAGGTGCCGACGCGCCGGAGTGTATGTAATACGCATTGCGACACACTTGGGTTGGCTTTAACAAAGATAATCAGCATAAGTAACAGATAATGCTGCTTTATAGGGCAGAGTCTATCCGCTGGCGTGACCGCTTCAACGATTTCATTAGCATACCGGTCGTTATCCGTAACTTACAAGATAAGGAATGTTAACGAAACTTCGGACAACAAGGCGCCGAAGAGTGTGGAACGTGACGCACAAACACGGGCTCTACGAACGCATTTCCCGTCTCTCTTTCTCTTTCAAATAAGTGGAATTCATCAGTCTTATAAAATTTGATGGCCGGTGAACAGTCGGTCGCGCGTTCCGGAAGTAAACGCGTGATGAAGAATCGAAAACGATCAAAGCTGCTAGTTCGTTGTCGACAAGCGAATATACCGAGAATAGACAGACAAAGCGGCCATGTGTACCTCTTTCTTTCTTCCGATGCATTAAGACAGATAAGAAGAAGAGACATTAGACGACCGAAGTTTCCTCTCCGATAATGGCGACGCGACACAGCCGTTCGGTGAGACGGAACAACGATAAGTCGTAGGATTCATTTGCAAAATCCTGAGAACGCGATGTCGGATCGACGAGAACGCTCGAGACTCTAGGCTCCGCGACGAATTTAACGATGCTTCGTTTTCGGACGTTTCGCGAAGAGAGAAAAAAAAAATCGTTCAGCACTGTGATCGTTTGTGACACCTACCGCCGCTTCCGGGAACGATTCGGCGCTGTCTACGAGTAATTCGGGTAAGAAAGATTCTCTCTCGAAGGCAGAAAGGGCAATCTAAAGATCTCATGCAACTTGCTGTCACTACATATCGCGGTAACTCACAATTTGCCGCTTAAACTCTTCCACCTCGTCATCGACGCTGGCACGGAGCTCTTTCAGTTCCGTTGCCATCTCGTCGATGTCCTCTGTCATGCGCAAAAGCTTGGCGTCTTTCGTCGCCATGACAACATTGTTCACCTCTATCTCGGCCTCTAGCTGCTTGATTCTCTGTCTCAGCTTCTCCTTCTCCTGCTCGACTCGCCTGCGCTCCAGCCCCTCCTCGCCGGCCTGCCTACTCAGCCGGCCGACCTGCGTCTCCAGACTGGAGATCTTGCCAGACCAGCTGGTCTTTATGTCGGACAGGTGTAGGTGCGCCTCCTCCAGCTTACGCTCCAGCAACGTTCGCTCGCGCATCAAATCGGCTATTCTCTCGTCGACCGTCACCTGGTCGCTCGTCTCCAAGGCGATTCTCTGCTCCAACACGAACACCTTGTCCTTCAGGTGACGGACCTCCTCCTCCGTGTGGGCCAGCTGGCAGGAGAGCTGCGCTCTTTCTCGCTGAGTGGAGTGGCGCATCGTCTCCATCTCGTCCTGAAAGTGAGCCCACGATTACCGAAACGCCGCCTGCCGATCTTCTTCTGATGGCATTATACTTAGCTCCCTTCTTTTTATCTTTACAGAAAAAGCTTCCCCGGCGAACCTTAATCAAAGCGACAACACGCGAGAGTTCGAGTTTGCCAAGCGAGGAAGGTTAAAAGATCAGTCTCTCGAGACGAAACGGAAATACGAAAAGGCAAACAAGAGAAGCGATACTTGCTTGGAATCGGACTTGCGTCGTTGAGCGTCGACTCTCTCGACGTTCCGATTCTTTGAAACTAGGAAGTCAAAACGCGTACAAGTCAGGGAATAATAAAAATCGCAGACCCTTTCGCATTTTTTTTTTTCTTTCCACTCAAGGTGTGAGAAAACACAGAGCTGCCATCACCTTTTAAAAAAGGAATGCTACAGAAAGTAAAGTAGAAACAAAACAGAACAGAATTGAAGAGGAAAGAAGACCTTTCATGAACTAAAAAAAACAAAAAGAACAGAAAAATTACCTTATCTCCGAGATAGTGCCGCGATTAAAGTGTACACACAACAACGTGCATTATCGTCAGGTAAAGAAAATTCCGTCAGGTTTCGCGTTCGACATATCAAGAGTTCATATTCTAGGAGCACGTTGAGAAGCAAGCATAAGAGTGTGAGCGAGCATTCTAAACGTAGCGGATAGCGGCAAAGCCTTGAAGACGTACCTCTAGCATCAGCGGTAGCAGCAGCGAATTAGCGGAAACGACCGCCTAACTCTGATCTCCGACGCTCTCGTTTACCAAAGTTTTCCAATCTTCATGCGTGTGTTGCGTTCACGAAACTTTCGGTATCACTTTTAGCAACGTCGCTGTTCCATAACTCTAGGGGAAACGTCGCCAACTGGTGACACCGTCGAATACTATATCGCGGAGAGTGTGTGTGTATCCGCGAGTCCCAGGAATGGAACCGTCTCGTGCAAGGACACCTGTTATCTTTGGCGAGCAGAAAAACGTATCTCTCTTCCCTTCGATTTCCAAAAATAATTTTCCCAAACGCGTCAGCAATGTTCGGTCGATCGGTTTGGTCAATTTCTCGATTAAGTTCGATAAAATGCAACGTACCGACACCGGTACAACTGGGGCAGCGGAGTTGCCGTGCGACATCGTAACCGAGAGTTATGGAACTCACGCAGCCTCAATTTGAACGTGTTTCACTACAGCGAGAGTCACATGTAATATTTATGTCATGGATTCACGTTTGAGCGGCGTGTCGGTAAAAAAAAAAGGTGCAGAGGAAAATATGGCAAACTGTGACGAAACAAAAAGCGATGTAATATTACTGTCAAAAACATTAATACGAATATAAAGTAATGCGAATATAAAATCCCTCTCTCAGACAAGCGTGCTTGAGAAATGCCGAGAAATTCTGAGTACCCGTCGACGATGATTCGCAAAAGTCGCATCGACGAACGTATTGAATTTGACTGTCAAAAATAAGTAAAGAAGTTCGACTTTATATCGATATTTATGCATGTTTTTGTAGGTGAACGTTTTTGCAGAACGCATTACTGTGAAACACATGTTAAGCTGTACGACTATCATGTGTTTGACAAATAATAATCCTGTTTTCCGATCGATGAAGAAATTTGCGAACTACAGTTTTGATATAAGTTACAAAACTTCCAACGTATATATAGATGTGTGACAGACACAAAGTATCGTTTAAATCAATTTCCATCAGTTTTAGACTCTGTATATCTTGCATAATAACAATACGATATAGGTGTGTTATGTGATTACATATAAAGTAAAAAGATATTAAAATGTCATAACAAAATGTCGAAGAAAGTGAACGAACTGGTTATTCTATCGAAATAATTAGTTAAAAGTGAATTTTTAACAGATAAAAATTTTCAACCACTACAGTCTACTCACTTGCACATTGTTCAACTCGTCCTCGTATCGTCTGAGACGGGAAACTTCGGTCTTCAGGTTCTCTATTTCTGATGTAGCAGCTTTCAAGTGGTGAGATTTTTCGTCCGCTTCTTGCTCTTTTGCTAATAACTGAAAGAAATAAACAATATAACAAATAATTGTACACATGTATTACTACCTGCTATCCATGCAATAATACAATGCGTCGATACTCTCAAGAATGATAACAGAAGAAATATCGTACTTACATATTAATCATATAATTTTTCCAAAAAAACTTACAAGATGTTTAATTTTAGCCATCTCCTGTGTTTGAAAACCTTCCAGCTGTTCCGCATCCTCTTGAAAGCTGTACAACTTCTTTTTATACTCTGGAAAATAATTACGAGAATTAAATCGATTAAATGTCCCACATACTGAGACTGACAAAAAACAATCGATAAAAATGCCTTAAAAATTGAATTATTTGAAACTACCTTCTGCATCTTTCAAAGCATGTTCTAAGGACTGTTTCGTGATTTCTATTTTCCTTATTTCCTCCTCTAATTTCCGCTTCTCCTTCTCCTGCCTTTCCACAACTTTCTTCCATTCCTTTTCCTTTTCGAAGAGCCTGACTTTCCATTCTTCTTCCTTTTTCTCCATTCGCTTCAACATCTCCGTTTCTTTCTTGGCCAAGCGTTTTCTCCATTCCTCCTCTCTATTTTCGAACCTCTTTATATCTTTCGCTGATAATTGCATCCCATCGTTGAGCTTCAGTTCAAAACTATTTTCTCTTCTCAGTGAAACCGGTGGTGAAGGAGACGCTGCATTTTCTTCTCTCGATCCATCCAACGATACCTGGGAACCACTAATACTACTTGTAGAGCCTGTCTGCAACAATAACAATGTTATTGGCATCTAAAGATCCAGATAACAAAATCGATTTTGAACTTTTATACTAAATAAATCAAAAGTAGCAATGCATAAAAATAAAATTTCATTTTTCTATTCTTTTAGATGTACGATCACAATTTATAAAGAAACATCTGTAAATCCAGAAGGATAATATAAATCCACATATTCGTCATAGATTATTAAGTAATTTCGGTTAGTATTTCTTCCAAATCCCTTTGTGTCAAAGATATAGCCGATAGACGATAACTTAATACTATAACATTAACAGTAATTGGGAGTAATTGGCTCTCAGGTTCAAGCACCAGCGGTTAGCTGATACCACGAGTCAGCGACCTATTAACCTTTTCTACATTACGATACCACTTGAGATATCGGAAGAGAAATGAATTAGACGCCAGGCAAAGCCGTCGGACGATTCATCGTGAAGGCACCAAACGTGCAGCAAAAGATGACCTCGACTTCGTATTTACCTGAGACACCTGTCTGGAATTGATGGCGCGTATGCTGCCGGCGTTTCTGACGACGGTAGATACGTCGCTGCCGATTTCCTCGCGTATCTTGTTCTTCAGGGTGGCGAACATGGTGCGAATGCGGCCGCGTTGAAATCAGCAACGCGACGAACAGCGATGACACGCACGCACCACTACCACCACCACCTGTCAACCCTCGCAACGCACGATTTAAACGCAACGCACGCACACCCGGGCTGTCAATCTCCGTTCCGATGACGATCACAGTGTGGAGAAACGCGGAACGCGCGACCGCCTCCTCATCATCCGTCACACGTCTGTTGTTCGTCGACCTCTCAGCAATCCTCGGCGCCCATTATGTTCCTCGATCGCGTATCCACTCGCCGTATTACGCGCAAACGGCCGTGAAGAAGGCTAGGATGGCTGCCATGTTGCTCGGTCACGTAAGCGCCGACCAACTTTATTCTGCTATCGCGTGCGATAAATTTCGATAAATCATACGGTCCGTTCTTTTTATAACGGTATGCACCTGATCTAGAGTACCTCTAGCCAGAGTACGTATGTACACCGATTCGCCATATGCAATAGGGAAATAGAAGTAGGAAAATTAAAATTTATTATTGCGTGTACTAATAAATAACAATAATATTCGCATAATTTTATGTACAATGTTAAATAACAATTTACATAAAGAAATGCCAACTTTGTACAAAATATATTTGTAACGTGTTTTATTCTGAAGCGTTTTGTATCATTTTATACTCAAATTTTCATCTTTAGGCGTGCATTTTACGTATCATTTTCGTTTATTACAGAAGTGAATTTGAAATACGCGTCACAGATTATCCATTAATGGCGGACGGTATCTGTAATGGAGATGGGCAAAATCATCGATGTTTAAAAACATCGGTGTCGCTCATTGGAGATGCGTCGTACGGGTTTGTCGGATGTGCTGATTGGCTGTCGGATAGAATATTTCCAGAATCCCTAACATTTTCTCTAGATGTAATACCACCCACAATAAGCAAACATTATTCAAACATCGATGATTTTGCCCATTCCTATAGTTTATAGTATAGACTATAGGAACTGGGGATGCGAGGTCTGCTAATTTCAGCTACACCTTCTGTACTTTATTTCTCGCCTGGGAGGGTCGCGGCGAAGGTCGCCGCGCGTGGCGCTGAAAGCGCAACGTGCGAACGGAGGCGCGGTGGTCGCGGAGTTGCGCTTTCTCGTCTCTCGCCTCGTATTCGTGACAGAGTTTGACGACGATCAGAGCGACGATGCGGTGCCGTCTCTGCCGACAGGCACGGCGTTTGACGGGAATCTACTAGACAAGTGTGCGCGGGTTTACGTGGTGCCGTAGCTAGGGCGATTGCTCGCTGCCGTCGCCGCTCGAGACCCGTCGGTGCAACAACAACCACTGGTGCGTGCCCGCGCGGTGAATAAAAAAATGTGAGGCCCCGAAGCGACAGCGGGTCCGGAGCTCGTTGAAAGTGAACGAGACGGAGAGAGAAGGGAGAAAGAGACGAGAGAGAGGAGGAGGGCGGGCGACAAGGAGAAAGAGAGAGGCAGAGAAAGTCGCCGCGCCGAAGACGAGAACGTAGGAGCGAAGGAAAGGAGCGAGAGGAAGAGAGAGACAACCCACCGGAGAAGCGCCTTGTGACTTCGGCATCCCGACGACGGAACGGTGAGGAGAGACTCGCGGTAACGAATGACGTTACTTCCGCGTCGCGGTGTTCTTTCGGCTTCGCACTTTCTCTACACTCTCTTGCGATTTGTCTTCCCCTTTTTTTTCGGCCCTTCTTCCACCGAAGCCTGCGATGATCGTACGACTCGTGTTTCTTTCTCTCTCCTTTTTAATGAGGAAAACGTAAGAAAGTGCGGCTGAAAGGGTGTCGCTTATCTTTTGCGAGGACTACCAGGAGGCTCGAAGATCTGTTGTTTCGTGATGCACTTGATACTCTCTTTCTCTCTCTCTCCCTCCCTCTCCCTTCGTTTCTGTTTTTCTAGGATGCCCGCGCGTTTGTTTGTGTTGTTTCAAACAAGGAGGGTATATAAGTGCGACTAAACACAGATGCATATGTGTTGCCTGTGAAATCTCGTTTGTATATTCGTCTGTATGAAAGAGAGAGAGAGAGAGAGGGGAAGGTGCGGAAGAGGATCAACCTCGCAATGCGCAATACTCGTTTGCAGATAGAGAAAATGTTTCGAATTGTATGTTTGCATGCACATTACGCGAATATGCCATTAGGTCTATTCTATCTAATCGCGCTTATATTTTCCGTGCCCGGCGTGAAACACGAACGCGCATGGTGGAGAGGAGAGAAAAACAAGCGACGAGGATAGGATAGACCTATTGTCGCGCTGATAAGGCGCACGGCTGATTTAGCCCAACCTAACCCTAACCTCTCGGAATATCAATACATCAACAAACCAAATGAGTAGGCGTAAAGAGAGGGGTACTTGAAATATACTCAGACAGTATATAACACACGTGCCATGTAGTAATTTATATAATATATACAGAAATGTTTTTACATTCAGGAAAGAGATACGATACGAATGGTAATCAGTATAAATATGAAATACCGCGATAAGAAAGTTTAATCTTTATATTGGCTGGTCGTGGTGATAGCCGTTTCATTCAACATATCGAACGGTTTATTTATAAAATCCCTTCTTACTCATTCTTCACCAGCAATTCCTATAAAATTAAGGCTTTCCCGATTTGACGACGACGAACACAGCATAAAGCTGTTATCGCGAGTATCGCGCATTGTCATGTCGCGCATAGTCATGTAATAACAAACGGACAATACAAATGATTCAAGGCAAAATGACGCACTGAAAAGGAAACCGGAACAAACGCTCGGAATCCGTTCATGATCGCGTCCCGATAGGAGACAAAGAGAGAGAGAGAGAGAGGAGACGAGAGTAGCGGCTCGTCGCATCTCATGTCAAGAGGAGGAACCTTGTGTCTATCTCTGCGACCACATAGGAATGGGTGAGAAAATTATCGAGTTATCAGCTTTGTAGTCGACTCTGAAATTTGAACTTGGATTTCGGTCTCCCTTCGGTGTGACTCATTTTCTTCGGCCTCTTAACCGAATTTTTTCCCGTCTACGTTATAGGCGTAATCTAGAGACGGCCCTACGAACGTTAAAAAATATAGTTTCAGAAAGACCGGTTTTTTCCTTCAATTTTAACGATCTATTTATTGCACAAACAAAGGAAGGAAACTTATTTGATTGCAGTTTAAATTGCAATGCGATCGATTCTAAGCCATTCAGATTTTATCGCGAGTCAATTGGACTTTATCGCAATTTACTTAGGCCGATCATCATTTTACTCTCGTTTCCTCCGTGTCTTGCTTCTTTCAGCTCTGCACTGTGTTATACTTTCTGAATTCTGGATGAAATAAGTATGCATTCGCGAGATTTGAAGGGAGAGGAAGTACACAGAAAATACAGCTGAGACCGGCTTCTGTCCGCGTTCTACAGCCAGAATCGACTGTCAATCGCCGCGAGCGAACTTTTCCTAAATTTCCGCGCAACAGTTAAAGCAGTTCGACTGTTTTCTTCTAGATAATTCGACCCATGACGTAGACGCGGAATGTAAATTAGGCCAGGCCAGGTTGAAGCGCATAAGTGTGGCCGACCGTCATCAGCGGTCACGCGACCACTAGGATCGTCCGTATCAATTGCACCTTCTGCACCTTCCTTCTTCCTCCTGCTTGCGAAACTTGAGAGAGAGAGAGAGAGAGAGAGAGAGAGCGCGGTACACCCACATCGCTGCGGGAGGCGGAAAGTGCGAAAAAAGCGCGGTCGAAGACGAACGCGTTTCCGTCGAGCGCGACTAACGGCACGGCGCACAGCTAAGCGCGGCGCGCATTATAAATAACGTGCTATTTGGAGCCGCGTCGCGCGCGATGCGGGACGGCGTCTTCCGCGGAAACACGGCGGCGATTGCGCGTTGCCTGAATTCGCGTCGCGACAGCTCGTGGAAGCGCGTTAGAAACCGCGAATTAGGGTGAGTTCCACCGAACTCTAATTGTTCCAGTCGAGTCGAGGTTTAACCGGGTCGTTCCTCTTCTCGAAGAAGCTGAAATGTTCGCTCGACGTCGGAAACGAATTCACGGACACCGCACACAGAAAGTGCCGTTGGATTTAGTACACGTGCTCGTTTGACTTGGGTTCGCTTAATATTAATAACATGATTCAATATCAAATATCGTTTTGTTTTAATGAAAAATATAACGTCGTTTGATCGAGAAAACAATATTATTTAGAAGAAATATTTTACTTCCGCTAAAAATTTTATCCCATTATATATTAAATATTGTTCCGCTGAAATAAAAAAAGCTTTTAAATGTTTTTCTAACATAGTGTTGCTTCTTTCAAATAATTTGTTGCTGGTGACAACCATTGTAATGTTCACTGAGCGGTCGAACAGTGAAAACAAATTTTCGTTGTTACAATCTGGAAAATGTGTACATATCGTTCATGGAAGATTCTCTACTATCGTCTGGAAAACATGAAAAGGTCAGGGAATTTGAAAATTCATTTTCTGTGGTAATCCCGGCTTATCAAAGAAAATTCCTGTGTGTTTAAACGCAAATATATACATTCATATTACACATTCGCCGTTCGTTCGTCAATGTATATGTATTATTCATCGATCAGTTTGAGTTCGGTGAGAGTCACCCTCAACTTTGTCTCGCGCTTTCGGAGCGAGTACAGAATCACACAGAAACCCAAGACAGACTTCTGCTGTCGGGGAAGTTCGATTCGTCGGGTAAACGCGATTTCCCAGCGTGTTTCGAACGATGAAAGATGCCTCGTTCGAACGCTAACAATTCACGCTTGGTTTGTCGCTTCGGAGCGAAGTGTTTTGCGCTTTGCTCCTTACTTGCTAGAAGCGATCGCCCCAGAAACGTCGTTATCCGATTACTTCACGCTCGGCCGAGCCGCCAGTTCGATGACGCACCGAGGCAACGACGAGCGACGACGAGCTCGTTCGCGCGATTCGCATGATGTGTCGAGCTGCGTGCGTCGCCGTCGGTCACCGAGATGCCAAGGGCTCAGACATAATAACAGGAGTAAAGGCTTTCGCACACAAATTGCCGTGACCATAAACATGAGACGTAAATCTAGATTGAAGAACCAATTATGATATTGCTTTATATACTCTAGAGGAAGACGTAGAACTAACGGTAAATCTGATAGTACGCAGAAGTAATTATGATTTGACCAGTTGAAATTCTAATTTAGTTTCTTGTTCCTTTCATTGTGTCTGAGCCTTAACCCATCGGTCAGTCAGTCGGTCGTTTCGCCGAAGCGATTTCGCTCAGGAAAAACGTCGCTCTCAATTACCACGAGCGCTTCCCGTTCTCGTGCAAAGTGAGACGCGTTGACTCGCCGCTCGTCACCGCCGTGGTAGTCGCCGTGGTCGATCGCGTTTTGCGAGAGAATTGGAATAATTGCCGACCCGTCGGCGGTTGTAGGTTGCATAACGATATATTCCTACCTCCGTCCGTGCAACACGCGCAGTTCCGCGGTTCCGAGCCGTCGGCTTTCCGCCGGAGACGCGTCCGCCTGACGGTACATCTCGCACGCTCGCGGAATCGGTGACGTGGGAAGAGAGAGAGAGAGAGATACCTCGCACGACGAGAGGCAACGAGGTCCCCACGGATCTTCGAAAAATCTTCGAACGTCGGCACGCGGGAAAATCGGCGATTTGTAAAAGCCCTCGTGCGCGCGCACTCACTGCGCCGTTCGTCACGTACCAGAAATTTTCGCTGCCATCACCGTCGAGCTATCTATAGACTGTAGTAATAATAATACACACAGGGTGTCTCGAAGCTATCGTCCGCGCGACTCTTCGACCGCGTCTCGTTATTGAGCTTCCACGTGTAACGACACTTGCGACGAATTTCTTGAAATTTGTGTTAACCTTCTGCCGGCGCACTTTTCCGCTGTTTAACTTGACACACTGAGTCTGTGAAACCCAGTAATTTCTCCTAGTTTAAATATCTACAAATGTGCTTATCCAGTGTACAGATATTATAGTTTTAAAGTATGTACAGAGGAGGTAAATTTGAAGAAACTGCTGCAACTATTTGAAGTAGATAATTCAATACATAAGGAGATATGGTGTATTAATTCTACACAGAAAGGAGTAAAAGGCACGTTTTAAGGAAAGAATTCTGTGTTCATACTTCGCAATGATTCAACAAATGTGTGTCTCAATTTTCTCAGTATTAAAAATCTCCTAATTATCTTAGTATTAATGTTATTTTCTTATTATTAAGATATTTCTCAAAAATATCTTAAATTTTTCACTTCACTCAATTTGACCAGTGAGTGCCAAACTAGGATTAAGTTACACACTAAGAGAAATTACAGTTACTTTTTTTACTTCAACCGTATCCTTTTTATTTTCATCGTTAAAGTAGTAGTAACAATATGCATCTAAGATTATTATCACTGACACTGTAGTAACACTTACGAGAAAAATGTTTCTTCAGATCGTGATTCTTTCACCATGATGATTACAGTTACGAATACCAAATACTTTTCTCCCAGTGTACGCTCGTACGTGACCGAATGCGAAGAGTGCGGTTTCTCGTCGTCGGTTCCCGTCGTCGAGTCTAGTCTTTCTCGAAATCCGTTATCGCGTCCGACTGCCGTTAATTCAGACGCTGATTATATGTCAGATCCGGTGCTGAATTGTTAAGTGTTAACCGCAGATAAGGGGCACGAGGCTCGCTTTGAAACACTCCGTGCAGCTCTGTGTGTGTTTGTGTGTCTCTCTCTCTCTCTCTCTTCGCGTTTTGATCGCTGAGATCGCAATCGGCAAGTGGTTCTCGTTAATTTCAGAATGTACGACGTAGTCGACGGATTACTATTACAGTACGCTCTTTGCGGGATTTAATCGCGTCTGCTCGCAATCGGCTCATCGCGCCCCGATTCGTCGTCGCTTGTTCATTCGAATCACGACGAATTCTGGCGCATTACGAGAGAGCGCTTGGCACGAGACCCGAGGAGTCGCATTTAGCACTAAATGAGCGCGCCGAGAATACGGCTCTGTTTATCGGACGCGGCTTTTCTCGCGTGCGCGTTTCTCCGCGTTTCTACACGCGAGGGAAACGCGCGCTTGCACACACACACACACTCGCTCGCTCTCTTGTTCGGTTTTTTTCCATTTCTGTCTTTCAGTCACTTTGGATGCTTCGCATTCCGCATTCGGCCACGCGCGTCCGCGCGCGCGATACATCCGATTCTCGCGCTTCCCTCGTGCGGGCGAATGTGTATAAGTTAATTAAACTCTGCCATCTGATATACCGCGGACACGAAAGTGCAAATTTCTCCCGATTCTAGATACACAAGGAGGAATGTCCCGCAACAATGGACCCGGTCTCTACGAGTTCCTCATGGAAGCTGAGCTGCAGCAGTATTATCCCGGCATTCGAGGTATCGCAAGTTTTTCTTCTCCTCAATCGAACGTCTTTAAACGGCCGTATAGCATCGAAGTTCAGAAATATCGACCGGTCACCGTATTTAAATTTTCATCGACATGAAATGTGCGTAGAAGTCAATCGCCAAACTGTTCGCCGATAAGAGATGTTCTTCTTCCGTTCAGGGGACTTGAAGGTGCAGACAACGGCGCAACTGAAATATGTGACTGAGGAAGATCTGAACGCGATAGGGATGAGCAAGCCGGAGATGCGTCGTTTGAAGAAGTACTTTCAGAAGCACTTCCCGCAGAATTATCTCTCCAAGTTCAAGAAGATGCTGCTGCCGAAGCGCGAGGAGCAGCCGCCCGGCGCCCTCAGCATGCTGCCGGAGGAGCGGCAGGATAAGCCACCGGTACGCGTTCCCAACAAGCACATGATCCCGGCGGACGCGATCATCGTCAACAAGGAGCTGGGGACCGGCGAGTTCGGCATCGTGCAGCAGGGAGTGTGGACGAACGACGGCGAGAGGATACAGGTGGCGATTAAGTGTCTGTCGCGCGAGAGGATGCACAACAATCCCATCGAGTTCCTGAAGGAAGCCGCGATCATGCACTCAATCGACCACGAGCACATCGTGCGCATGTACGGCGTCGTGCTCGACACGAACTCGCTGATGCTGGTCACGGAGCTGGCGCCGTTGCGTTCGCTGCTGGAGTGCCTGAAAGAGCCGAGTCTGCGGGCGAGTTTCCCGGTCCTCTCGCTCTGCGACTTCGCCGTCCAGATCGCCGACGGGATGCAGTATCTGGAGCAGAAGCGGCTGATCCATCGCGACCTCGCCGCTCGGAATATCCTCGTCTTCTCCAAGAACAAAGTCAAGATCTCGGACTTCGGTCTGTCGCGCGCGCTGGGCGTCGGCAAGGACTACTACCAGACGAACTTCAACGTCAACCTGAAGCTGCCGATCGCCTGGTGCGCGCCCGAGTGCATATCTTACCTCAAGTTCACGTCGGCGAGCGACGTTTGGGCGTACGGCGTGACCTTGTGGGAGATGTTCAGCTACGGCTTCCAACCATGGGCGGCGTTGACCGGCCATCAGATCCTTGAAGCGATAGACGAGCCGAACTTCCAGAGGCTAGAGCAGCCTGACTGCTGCCCGAAGGACTACTTCGCGCTCATGCAGCAGTGCTGGCAGCACGACCCGCTCAAGAGGCCCAAGTTCTCCGATCTGATCAGTGTGCTGCCCGACCTGAAGCCGGAGCAGGTACAGGCGGTTCAGGACAGCGTCGACCCGACTCAGCTCGTTTACAGGCAAAGCGATGTGATCACCGTCCTAGACAAGGGCAGCAGCAACACCCTGTGGAAGGGCGTGCTGAACAACGGCAAGACCGGCTATTTTAACCCGGCCCACACGATAGCGTACATCGGCTCCAACCTGCCCAGTAACAAGCCCGGCGAGTTCACGCGCGGGGACGGCAAGAACGCCTTCTCCTCGCAGCGCAGGAAGATCCGCACTGACATGATATCGTCGCCGCAAGGCGACCTCAAGCACACCGGCCACGTAGGTCTGGACGGCGCATACTTCGGCGACATTAGCTTCCTCGGCGGCAAGTATCCGCACTTGCCCCGCCAGGTGGTCACGCCGTACAAACCGCAGGAGGACGTAACCGATAATTCTAGTCAAATCGCGAGTCAAGACGCGAGGAGCGCCGACGTGAATAGGGAGTCGGCGAGGGACAGTAGGAATCTGCAACAAGAAACCCAACAGAGCAAACACGGTATGTGTAGTTTTCGCTTTGCCCCCCCCCCCCCCCCCCCCCCCCC